AGCAGCATCAGGCATCAGCGGAAGCTTCACTCTAAGCTGGATCTGGCAAAGGGGATCGCGCGAAGCTTCACACAAACTCAACCAAGGCGGGGACTTCGCTCGACGACGACCACGGCAGGGGCTTCGCTTGCCGGCGGTGGAGGCTTCGCGCGACGGGCTTCACGCAGTGGCGGCAGGGGCAGCCTCGTGCGATGGCGGCAGGAGCTCCGCACGGTGATGGGCTAATGGCTATGTACAGTTGAGATTTTGATGGTAAGCACGCATTTGTTGCGCCTGGAGCCTACGGTCGCCTGACTCAGGCTAATTGCATGCCTGTATCCGTCAGGCCAGGCTAGTGGAGAATAGTCTCACGGTAGCAACCAAACAAACCTATATTTGGTCAGGCTTGTCTAAGGCCAGACATGCTTCTCTCAGGGTAGCAACCAAACAGGCTCTTAAACTCCCAATCCCTTTCCCTCAAGTTACCAAACAAACCGGAAGGGTTAGGATTAAATGAAAGATGTAGAATAAATGGTTAGGATTTAAATGTCTTTTTTGGGTGGGAAATTATTTCCCTATCCCATTAGCCAGTACTGCCTGAGTGTATAAGGATTCATTTTTTTTCATTTTAGCCCTTTGACTTTGTGAATATTACAATAAGTTCCTTTTTAATTGTTTTCCCACGATGAGACGTGAGTAGATAAGTTTCATATTCTTTTAGTTTAGCCCTGTAACTTTTTTAATATTACGATAAGTTCCTTTTATATTGATTTTTTATATAAGCCCCCAAACTTTATATATATATATATATATAGGGAATATTCAGTACCGTTTGCATAACAATGGCTTTCTAAATTCTACTAATGGAACGTGTTTCGTCCTTCGAACAAATGTTTTAGGTCTGATACTTGCAGCTCGTTAGTGCGCCAACAGAGAGGGATTCTATACCATTATACCACTTATTACGCAGTTGAATTCTATTTTTTTTTACATATAGAAGTGATTTAAGATTTTGAGTCTTGACTACATCTATCCATCTATGTCTACCTACACGAAAGTTGACACTAGAAGATTCCGCATCAATCAGACAAGCCTAGCATTAACACTTACGTCAGTCATAGGTATTTGATGTTCAACCAATATTCGGTTAAACTTAGAAAAATCTGATAATCAATTTTATAATAAAATAAGTTCATAAAATCTAATTAATTTATTATATTACAATAGTACATTTTGATGCAGCTGTAGATATACCATATATTTTGTTTGAAAACTTAGAATTAGAGAAATTATTAATGGTTGGATTTCAATAATTCGACCTTGTCCTAACATCGAATATTTATGATAAGAGGGAGTAGAAGAGACCCTGTTAGTTACAAATTTATTATTGTTATTTTGAAATGGATTAATAAGATAATAAATTGATAGTTCAAAACATGGACAACTTTATATTTATTATAAGATAATAAAATGTTATTCTCTAATAAAATACCAGTTTTTGGTGACGTTCTCTAATCATGGTACATTTTTGCAATGACCATCAGCAAATTACATAAACTATAGTGAACTTTAAGTTTGCACATATGAGAGACTAGGCGATATATCTTGATATTCATGTACTAAGGCGGAGGCTCAAATTCAGTGGACATGTCCCACTACAAAGGAATTTTATCGACAAAGCTAGCTTGATAGTACTAATTTTAAATCATATGAATTTAAATTGTTTATTATTAGACACTTAAAAATAAAATATAGGTGTAGTAAGTGTAATATAAACATGCCACATGGGTTTTGGAATAGGACAACAACGTTTGAATTCTACACTAGCCGGAAAGTTGGAATTCCAAAACCCGTATCGTGGTAATATCATGGAATATTCCAAAACATGGAATAGTACCACGATAGCAACATTATACTGGTCCAAAGTTCATAATTCCAGCAGGTGTCCTGTTCACAGTCGTTGTCATCCTATTCCAAAACCCATGTGTACTGTCTATATTACACTTACTACATCTATACTTTATTTTTAAGTGTCTAATAATAAACAACTGTCCATAGTCCAAAATGTATATGACGTTTGGAAGGTGACATGCTGGAATTTTGGACTTTGGACTTTCCGCTAGCTAGTATACTGGTACATAAGAGTACAAACTACTACTATTACTATTACTATCAGTTTGTAAGTGAAAATCACGATCACAATATGTACTACACCTACTAAGCCGTAACACATATTAGCAATCCAAAAGTATTTTTAAGGTAAAACTTATATATTTTATATGTCTTCTAAAGGCACCCACAATGTAAGTAAAAAGTAGTCCTTATAGATCCATATGAGTACCTTTACTATTGTAAGAAGTGGCATTAAAGATCACCCATATGAATTAAAATGTATTATCTCTCATCTTTCTTCTCTCTGCGTGAGAAAACCATGGCACTTGGATGTGATTTTTTTAGATGTGGGTTCTACCTTGATGTCAAGTACTATCTTTATACATTGTGACAATTGGAATAACAAATTCTCATATATATCTACTTAGTCTATATACATTATTGATTCCCTAAGCGACTTAAAAGCCAAATCTTGAAAATAAACCATGAAAAAAATACATTCAAATCAACTCTAAAAACTAGTAAGGTGAGGAGCAAATGGTGGAGTATTACTTTTGAAGAGCTCGATTCCTCAAAGTTACATCATAGAGTCTCTGTGTACAACATAAGGAGTGAATAAGTAAATCTTTTTGCTTAATTTAGACTAGTCTTATTACTCCATCTGTCCCATTTTAAAACACAACCAGTTTCTGTATCCAACTTTAATCGTTTGTTTTATTTAAAAAATTTTTGAAAAAAAATAAAAAATATAAGTTACGCATAATGTAATATTTATTTTTTATCATTTAATAACAATAAACATACTAATCATAAAAAAATTTAAATAAGACGATGATCAAAGTTAGACAGAGAAACTCATGACTGCATTTAAAATGAGACGGAGGGAGTACTAAACATCTGCAGTTTGGGCTAGTGGCCCTGCACATCATTTCCCAAAAATCTTCTTCCTTTTTGGTCCTTATTACCAGCCTCTCAGTTTTTCCACGCTACTGGTGATGACTCTTCTCCTCCGCCACATGGAGATATTTAACTATTTGTAGATTTTGGGCGAAGCAGGCAATGGCGGAGCTCAATAGCACAGGGCTCCACGGCTTGAACGGTACTGCCTCAAGGTATGAAGGGAGCTAGAAAAACGAGGATACGGAGTAATACCGAAGAGATGGCACGTCTCAGCCGGCGGCACGCTACTGCAGAGCCTACCGGAGTAGCAGAATCCGATGGTACCATCCGCCCGCCCATCCCCACGCGCGCGTCGCGAGCTCGATCTCTTCTTGTGCCAACTGCCAACCATGTGGCTAGCGTATTGCAGACATCATGGCGAAAGGTGGGTTAGTTGTACCGGCAAAGGCATCTTGTGGGCGTTGCGAGATGAGCAATTGCCGAGTTGACGATGCAAACAAGCATGAACATACGCTGCTCATTGCCAAGGACCAACTTGGTCAGGTTGTTACCATCTCCTCCCAATTCATAAATCCATAACAGCTAGCATAGACACAAAGGCTTAATTGATGGTTGAATTCTACTCATGCTCCTTTGGATGGAGGAGCAGCACGCGGCTGCCCTCACTGACTCTCCAAGTTCGCCAAGAGAAGAAAGAGCAAGGAGAGGACTAAAGTGGTGTTTAGTTCACGCCAAAATTAGTAGTTTGGTTGAAATTGGAACGATGTGATGCAAAAGTTGAAAGTTTGTGTGTGTAGAAAAGTTTTGATGTGATGAAAAAGTTAGAAGTTTGAAAAAAAAGTTTGCAACTAAACAAGGCCTAACACTAGTGGAGAAACCATCTTTGATCGGTCGACCCAAATCTACAATAGTCCCGGTTTCATTAAAAACCGGGACTAAAAACGATTTTTAGTCCCGGTTTATAAGAACAACAGGACTAGATGATCTTTATTCCCGGTTTGTGTTACCAACCGGGACTAAAAATCATCTTTAGTCCAACCTACCAACCGGGACTAAAGATGATTTTTAGTCCCGGTTGGTTCAATGTCAGACCGTGTCAGGCGCCTAGGATCTTTAGTCCCGGTTGGTGTTCCGGGACTAAAGATCTAACTTTAGTCCCGGTTGGTGTTACTAACCGGGAATAAAAATCAACACATACTATATAATCCCTATTACTTATCCTCTTCTCTCATCCACGCAACAAACTCTACCTCTTTCTTTCTTTCTTCCTCTCTAACTCCTGCCTTATCTCTTTCTTCCTTCCTCTCTTTTTTTTTTGGATCGAGCGAGATCGAGGGCCGGCCGGGCGGCGGGCGGCGCGGCCAACATGGCGGCGGGCGGCGCGGTGGCGACGCGCAGGGCCGCGCGCGGGGCGGCGGCCGGTGCGGTGGCCAGCGCGGCGGCGCGGAGGGCCGCAGGGCGACGCGGAGGGCGGCGCGGCGGTGGCCGGCTGGCGCGGAGAGGAGGCGACAGCGGCCGGCCGAGCAGCGCCTATGTGGTTTTTTTCTCTTTTTTTTAGAATTTGTGATTTATTGCATGATTCTGTGATGTATTTGATTTGTGTGCGATGTGAACTTGTGATGTATTTGCAATGAATTTTGTAGAACTTGTGATGTAATTTGATTTGTGTAATTTTTTTAGGATTTGCGATGTATTTGATTTATGTGTATAAGTAACTTAAACATTTGTGATGTGGATTTGGGATGTTAATTTGATTTGGGATTTGGGGATATGCATGCCACTTGATTCGGGAGAAAATAAAAAAGAAAAAAAAAAGGAAAGAGGACCATCTGTACTGCTGTTATTCCCTCTTTAGTCCCGGTTGGTAACTCCAACCGGGACTAAAGATAGGGATCTTTAGTCCCGGTTATTTCACCAGGGACTAAAGATCGCTATCTTTAGTTCCGGATTCGTAGTTCCGGTTGGACAACCAGGATTAAAGGGGGTTACAAACCGGGACTAAAAAGCACTTCTCCACCCGTGTAAGCAGAAACCTTTTGCAAGCTTACCCGGTTAAATGTTGAAAATATTGTGTTACCTCTAGTCTAAGCTACAACATTGATAAAAATAAATGATCCAGCATGCAATTCACTCCAACTTAAATATTCTACAAGGATTTTTACTACTCTGGCGGAAATATACTATAGTATGACCTGGTATGTTTATTTTGGACCAAACGGTGCAGAAGGCTAGCCCGTTAACATTACTGTTCATCTCCCTATCCGTCTCCTTTCAGTCACTTTTCCACTGGCTTACGAGTTCTAACAACGTCATTTTGGACTCACCTTTGTCACTTGGCGCCTCTTTCACCTCTCGCATGGCCGCCAAAGTCCGCTCCCGGAGCTCTCTTCCACCGTCAGAATCCATGAGCCACCTCGCCTTCTCCTGAATCTCCTCCGCCGTAACGATTCCTTTGTCATAGCCTTCCACCCCCACGGCCAAACGCATCTCTTCCACCAAGAACACCTTGTTCATCCTCTGCTCCGCGTACAACGGCCATGCCAGCATGGGCACCCCCGCTGTGACCGCCTCCAACACCGAGTTCCATCCACAGTGTGACACGAACCCGCCCACCGCACCGTGCTCCAGCACCTCGCGTTGCGGTGAACACGATATGACCACGAGCCCCCTTCCCTTGGTCCGGCGTAGGAAGCCTTCCGGGAAGATGAGCGCGTCGAGGTCAGGCCCGGTTACGTGCTCCAAGCCAGGCGGGGGACGCACCACCCACAGGAACCGGTGGCCGCTCGTCTCTAGGCCGACGGCCACCTGCTTGATCTGCTCCACGCTGAACACGCCCAAGCTGCCGAAACAGAGGAACAACACGCTGGCCTTGGGCTGCGCGTCAAGCCAGGCGAGGCACTCGTGGCGCTCTGTACTGTCCTCCTCCCGCGGCTTTATCAGTGGCCCTATGCAGTGCAGCGGCGGCGTTCGACGCCCTGGGAACGTGCAGAGACCGGCGACGATGGCGTCGGCCGCGCGCCGCTCGAGGGAGTGGCAGCTATTTACCATAACACCGTGCGAGTTGCACACCTGTTCGGACAAGGCGAGGAAGTGCCTGCTGCTCACGCTGTCGCGGTCTAACTGAGACATGGGGAGGTGATCTGCCGGTATCGGTGGGATACCCGGCGCGTGCACGAGGTCACCACTGAGATCTCTGAAGCTCATGGTATTCTCCTCTTGGATGACTGGAAGGTACAGCAGAAAAGCGAGGCTAGCGATGCAAGTGGTGAGGAAGAAGTACGTCGGGATGCGGAGCTCGGCGCCAACGTCGAGGGCGCTGTAGCAGAAGAAGTCGATGATGAGGACGGCCGGGGAGGTGGACCGGAGGAAGTCACATAGATCGGGGCCGGAAGCCCGTGCAAACTCGAAGACCCGAGCGAGACACGTAATCATCAGCGGGCACGTTGCAGGGGAGCGTGGGTTGCGGGAGGCGGTGGAAGGAGAGCTCTGGGTTGGTGGCGGCGGCGTCCGCTAGGAAAGACGCGGTAGCAGCGGCGCCCCCGTCGTCCTGGCCGCCGAGGACGATGGTGACATCGATGCCGTGCGGCACGAGCAGCTTGCCGAGCTCCACCGTGGAGACCAGGTGGCCGATCATCCCCGGCGGCGGGTAGATGACAGCCAGCTTCTTCGGACTCATTTCGGGATAAGAGCGTGGACTCCGCGACTGCGATGAGAGGCTGCAGTCTCCTCACTAGTCCATCACTCAGCGGCTCAGCGCACTTAATTTCAGCTTAGTGTTTTTTTTATATAAAATCTATTTAGAGAGGCCTCTCAATTTTGCCTTATCTAGCGACGCCTAAACATGGAGAAATCTAGCTACTACATGGTACTACATGCATGCTTTTTTAATATACATGTACGTCCTTTTCCTCTTCAAACAAAGTTTTCTCTCAAATTACCTATCCGATCTACCATCCGATTACACCATTGTGTTCGTTACAATTAAATCTTCACAACAAGATCTTACATGAATATATTACGATGAAAAATATTTATATTTGTAAATTACTTAAGTTACTTTTATCATATATATATATATATATATATACACACACACACATAGTTACTTTTAGAGTTGACTAAATTACTTCTTAGACATATAAAAGTAAATTTAATAGAGTTTAAAAGTAATTTACATATATATATTATAAAAGTAACTTAAAACAAAACGGAAGTAATTTTGTTTGGACGTTAGAAGTAAATTCGTTTTAGGGATAAAAATATGAATTTATTTAGAAATTAAATTTAATTAGCACAGATCAACACACATAAGTTTAACAATTTTTTAAAAGTAACTTCAATATTAATTGGAAGTAACTTTTGCATAGTTCAAAAGTAACTATCTATAAATCTGTTTAATTATCGATTTTTTTTTTCTTTCATTTTTATTTTTCATGTAGAATGAGAAAAGAAGATACTATTGTATTTTTCAAGTTGAAAGAAGATACTAGATGGAGTACAAACTAGCTACCACTAGCTGTGTAGTTACATCCAATTAAAAAAGACATTCATTTTTGTTATAAGTTACTTCTATAATATATGTAAATTACTTTTAGGCTTCATGAATTTACTTTTACATGTCTAAGAAGTTATTTAGTGAAATCTAAAAGTAATTTAGATATATTATAAAAGTAATTTATAATTTTTTATCAGAATATAATCATGTGAGATCTTGTTATAAAGATTTAATTGTTACAAACACAACGGTGTAATCGGATCGTAGATCGGATGAGTAGTTTAAGAGAAAATTGTATTTGAAGTATAAGTGGATAATGTCTCTCATAGATAGAGTGGTAGCTGGTTTAGACAAACTAGTTACCACTAGCAATGTAATCACGTTCTTTTTTTTAATACTCGCGTGTCGCGTGTGCTTCACTCGAATTGGAACCTCAACTGTTACAGTCTGCTCTCGGTTCCCAACTCCTCTCTTTTATTTTCCACGCGCATGCTTTTTAAACTAATAAACGGTACGTTTTTTAAAAAATTTTCTATACGAAAATTGTTTAAAAAATCAAATTAATTTATTTTTTTTAAAAAAAATTAGCTAATACTTAATTAATCATGCGCTAATGGTATGCTCCATTTTCCGTGCGAAGAAAATGGCTTCCCAACCCCAAATTACAAACACAGCTAAACCAATCTAATACTGAGGCCATGTTTAGTTCCTCCTCCATTTTTTTTTACCTACACGGACGCACATTTAAAATATTAAACGTAGACTAATAACAAAACAAATTATAGATTTCGTCTGTAAACTGCGAGACGAATTTATTAAGCCTAATTAATCCTTCATTAGCAAATATTTACTGTAGCACTACATTGTCAAATCATGGCGTAATTAGGCTCAAAAGATTCATCTCGTAATTTACATGCAAACTGTGTAATTAGTTTTTTGTTAACCTTTAATGTTCCATGCATATATATATCCTAACATTTGATATGATGAAATTTTTGGAAGTTTGAACGAACTAAACACACCCCACCTGAATGTGATTTATTTTAGTATTATAAATCTGAACATACATCTATTCAGATTTATCATACTAGAATATTCCATATGCAATTCTAGATATTCGTTTTTTTTATCAGAGATGGCAACTAGACCGACTGGCCTAGGAATGAACTTCTCTGGTCCATGAATCGATTGCCCAAGGAATGAACTGGGTCTGGTCCATGATTCGTTTGGCCAATAGTAAATGACTATTATTGTTTCGACAAAAAAAATAAATGACTATTATAACGCGGCCACGTGACTGATGGGGTCTGGAGGAAGACACGGCACATGAGAGAAACAAGCGTTCTGTTCTGTAATTACACGTATGAAAATGGAAGAGTCAACTGGCAGTTGTGGACTCGTGGTGCAGCATATGACACGTGATTATTTACTATTTCGGATTTTACCTAATCTCGTGTTGTGTCCTTTGTGATCTTTTCTTTAAAATATTTTCATTATTTATCTTAAATTTAGTTATTTCTAAATTGTATTTCTACTTAAACTCTTATTTCTATTTTTCTAATTCCAGAATTTACTTATTATTTAAACTTTTAGTTAATATCGTATTGTGTTTTACATGGACAGTTGTTTCAATATTTCTTGTTTATTATTCTGAATTTTAGTTAACTTTAAATTGTATTTCTATAAAAATTCTTATTTTCTTTTTCTAATTTTAGAATCTTTTTATTTTAAATTTTAGTTAATCTTGGGTTGTATTCTAGATTGTATCATGTTTCAATATTCTTTTTTTATTTCGAATTTTAGTCATTTTCTAAATTGTATTTCTAGTTGGACCCTTCTTTTTATTTTTTTATTAATTTTGGGATCTTTTTTATTTTTATTTTAAATTTCAATTAATCTCGTATTATGTTCTACATGTTGACAAACTATACCGCGTACTGGACTTGAACGGTACGGGAATTATTGGAACTATGGTGTACACAAGATTGCAGTAATAGAGATGGGGGATATGGATTTTTATATAGGTTCGGACATCTTAACTGATAGGTAATAACCCTAATCCTATTGGTCGAAGCCAGTGTTTCCTTTATATATCAGTATCACATAAGTACAATACTTGAGATGACCTAATCCAATCTCTATCGGCTTGGCAACATGGAGCTTTCATACGTAATCGACGGGTAGTATAGTATTCTCCCTCGAATATGAACTCGGCGAGATTGGAGTTATCTCTAGATTCCTCATGCCAGTCCCTGTGGCTCCTACATTAGGTTTGGTTAGATCTGTATTGGCTTGTGTTGGTCTCTCCCCTCTTCCTAGAGGGTCTAGTATTTATACCTCCCCTTTTCAAATAGAACTACGAAGACAAGTACAGATACAATATATCTGAGCAGTCTTTGTAGTGTCCGAATAAAACTCTGCTTTTCCTTCCTTGTCCGGAATAACTTTCATAATTGAGACATGATTCCGTATAAAACTTGATATATGGTGGGTCCCGCCAAGTCTAATCCAAGATTATTGGGTCTGTCTTATTTATAACGCTAACACTACATTAGACATTTTTAATTATTCCTTATATTTTATTCTAAATTTTAGTTATTTCTAAATTGTAATCTTACTTGAACTATATTTTTTTATTAATGTGGGAACTTTCAACCTCAACAACAAACGTGGTGTCCACTTTCAAGTTTGTTTTAATAATACCATAGATAGATAAATGATATAACATGCAACTCACTCTAATTTAAATGTGCCACTATACTCTACCATACCTATTGTATTGAATTTTACCACCCTCGTAGAAAAGAAAGCTAAAGCGAACTACTGTAACATGTAACATATGACCTGGTCTGTTCATTTTAAATCAATTGGTGGAGAAGGCTAGCCCATGAACACCACTGTTCATATCTGCATCCTTCTCTCTTTCATAAGCTTTTCTGCTGACTTATGAGTTATTGTAGTTTTTCCACTGACTTGTGAGTTGTAACAACGCTATTTTGAACTCTCCTTTGTCACTTAACGCCTCTTTCACCTCCCACATGGCTGCCAAACTCCGCTCTCGGAGCTCTCTTCCACCGTTTGAATCCATGATCCACCTCGCCTTCTCCTGAATCTCCTCTGCTGTAACGACCCCTTTATCATACCCTTCCACCGCCACGGCCAAGCGCATCTCTTCTACCAAGAACACCTTGTTCATCCTCTGCTCCGCGTACAACGGCCATGCCAGCATGGGCACTCCCGCTGTGAGCGCCTCCAGCATCGAGTTCCATCCACAGTGTGTCACGAACCCGCCCACCGCGCTATGCTCCAGCACCTTGCGTTGCGGTGCCCACGACATGACCACGAGCCCCCTTCCCTTGGTCCGGCGAAGGAAGCCTTCCGGGAAGGGGGCTTTTTCCACGCGCATGCTTTTTAAACTAATAAACGATACGTTTTTTACAAAAATTTTCTATACGAATGTTGTTTTTAAAAAAATCAAATTAATTCATTTTTGAAAAAAAATTAGCTAATACTTAATTAATCACGCGCTAATGGTATGCTCCATTTTCCGTGCGAAGAAGATGGCTTCCCAACCCCAAATTACAATCACAGCTGAACCAATCTAATACTGAGGCCATGTTTAGTTCCTCCTCCATTTTTTTACATATACGAACGCACATTTAAAATATTAAACGTAGACTAATAACAAAACAAATTATAGATTTCGCCTGTAAACTGCGAGACGAATTTATTAAGCCTAATTAATCCGTCATTAGCAAATATTTACTGTAGCATCACATTGTCAAATCATGATGGAATTAGGCTCAAAAGATTCATCTCGCAATTTATATGCAAACTATGTAATTGTTTTTTTCGTTAACATTTAATGCTTCATGCATGTGTCCAAACATTTGATATGACGAAATTTTGGAAATTTGAAGGGAACTAAACACACTTGAATGTGATTTATTTTAGAACTATAAATCTGAACATATATTTATTCAGATTCATTATAATAGAATATGCCTTATGCAATTCTAGATATTCGTTTTTTTTAACAGAGGTGGCAACTAGACCGACTGGCCTAGGAATGAACTTCTCTGCTCCGTGAATCGATTGCCCAAGGAATGAACTGGGTCTGGTCCATTAATCGTTTGGTCAATAGTAAATGACTATTATTGTTTCGACAAAAAAATAAATGACTATTATGACGCGGCCACGTGACTGAAGACACGGCACATGAGAGAAACAAGCGTTCTGTTCTGTAATTACACGTATGAAAATGGAAGAGTCAACTAACAACTGGCAGTTGTGGACTCGTGGTGCAGCATAGGACACGTGATTATTTACTATTTCGGATTTTACCTAATCTCGTGTTGTGTCCTTTATGATCTTTTCTTTAAAATATTTTCATTATTTATCTTAAATTTAGTTATTTCTAAATTGTATTTCTACTTAAACTCTTATTTCTATTTTTCTAATTCCAGAATTTATTTATTTATTAAACTTTTAGTTAATATCGTCTTGTGTTTTACATGGACGGTTGTTTCAATATTTGTTGCCTATTATTCTGAATTTTATTTAACTTTAAATTGTATTTCTATGAAAATTCTTGTTTTTCTTTTTCTAATTTTATAATCTTTTTATTTTAAAATTTAGTTAATCTCAGGTTGTATTCTAGATTGTATCATGTTTCAATATTCTTTTTTGGGGCTGCTATATAACGGTATCCTGTTTTCGAACGGGATGATCCACGTTTCAGGTATTAGACGATTCTATACACGTTTCAGGTGATACCTGCAAGTATCATGTGATACTTATCAGGTATCATGCGATTTTCTACCACATATCGCGTGATACTCGCGAGGTATCATGTGAAACCTGTCAGCTATGAGATGATTTCAACCACGTATCGCGTGATACTCACGAGGTATCATGCGATACCTGTCATGTATCAGACAATTTTTACCATGAATCACGTGATACCCGCGAGGTATCAGACGATTTCTACCATGTATCACGTGATACTTGCGAGGTATCGGATGATACCTATCAGGTATCAGGTGATTCCTACTAGATATAGTTGGGCATCCCGTTGGGGGAGGACCACCCCGAGGACGGCGACGGCGGCGGCAGAGGACGAGCGCGGCGGTAGCGGGGACGGGCGCGGCGGCAGTGGGGGATGGGCGTGGCGGCGGCGGCGGCGGCGACGGCGGCGGTGGCGGCGACGACGGCGGCGTCAACAGGGGATGGACGCCGCGGCGGCGGTGGCGGGGGACAGCGACGGCGTCGACGGGGGACAGGCATGGCGGCGGCGGAGGAGGAGGCGACTGGGACGGGCGCCGCAGCGAAGGGGGGACGGCGACGGCGGCAAGTGAGTGTATGGATAAGAATCGCGTGTGGAGAGGAGCTATCCCGTTGGGGGACGGTATCCCGTCCCCTAGCATTGTCGTTCTTTTTTTTATTTCGAATTTTAGTCATTTTCTAAATTGTATTTCTAGTTGAACCCTTCTTTTTATTTTTTTTATTAATTTTGGGATCTTTTTTATTTTTATTTCAATTTTCAATTAATCTCGTATTATGTTCTATATGTTGACAAACTATACCCGCATACTGGACTTGTACAGTACGGGGATCGTTGGAACTATGGTATACGCAAGATTACAGTAATAGAGATGGGGGATATGGATTTTTATATAGGTTCGGACACCTTAACTGATAGGTAATAGCCCTAATCCTATTGGCCGAAGCCGGTGTTTTCTTTATATACCAGTATCACATGAGTATAATACTTGGGATGACCTAATCTAATCTCTATCGGCTTGGCGACATGGAGCTCTCATACGTAATCGACGGGTAGTATAGTATTCTTCCTCGAATATAAACTCGGCGAGATTGGAGTTATCTCTAGATTCCTCATGTCAGTCCCTGTGGCTCCTACATTAGGTTTGGCTAGATCTGTATTGGCTTGTGTTGGTCTCTCCCCTCTTCCTAGAGGGTCTTGTATTTATACCTCTCCTTTTCAAATAGAACTACGGAGACAAGTACATATACAATATATCCGAGTAGTATTTGTAGTGCCCGAATGAAACTCTACTTTTCCTTTCTTATCTGGAATAACTTTCATAATTGAGACATGATTCCGTATAAAACTTGATATATGGTGGGTCCCGCCAAGTCTAACCCAAGATTATTGGGTCTGCCTTATTTATAATGCTAACACTACATTAGATATTTTTAATCATTCCTAATATTTTATTCTAAATTTTAGTTATTTCTAAATTGTAATCTTACTTGAACTATATTTTTTTTAATTAATGTGGGAACTTTCAACCTCCACAACAAACGTGGTGTCCACTTTCAAGTTTGTTTTAATAATATCATAGATAGATAAATGATATAACATGCAACTCACTCTAATTTAAATGTGCCACTATACTCTACCATACATACCGTATTGAATTTTACCACCCTGATAGAAAAGAATGCTATAGCGAACTACTGTAGCATATGACCTGGTTTGTTCATTTTACATGGGTAATTTGGAACCATGCCATTATAATTTTTTAAAGTTTGAGATATGCCATCGGTATCTCAATGATATATAGGACCCACACGAGTCAATGACATGTGGATCAGGATGACATATGTCAAATTTTATAAAATTATAATGGCATGGTTACAATTTTCCCTTAAATCAAATGGTGGAGAAGGCTAGCCCATGAACACCACTGTTCATATCTCCATCCTTCTCTCTCAGAAGCTTTTCTGCTGACTTATGAGTTATTGTAGTTTTTCCACTGACTTGTGAGTTGTAACAACGCTATTTTGAACTCTCCTTTGTCACTTAACGCCTCTTTCACCTCCCGCATGGCTGCCAAAGTCCGCTCTCGGAGCTCTCTTCCACCGTCCGAATCCATAATCCACCTCGCCTTCTCCTGAATCTCCTCTGCTGTAACGACCCCTTTGTCATACCCTTCCACCGCCACGGCCAAGCGCATCTCTTCCACCAAGAACACCTTGTTCATCCTCTGCTCCGCGTATAACGGCCATGCCAGCATGGGCACCCCCGCTGTGACCGCCTCTAACACCGAGTTCCATCCACAGTGTGTCACGAACCCACCCACCGCACCATGCTCCAGCACCTCGCGTTGCGGTGCCCACGACATGACCACGAGCCCCCTTCCCTTGGTCCGGCGAAGGAAGCCTTCCGGGAAGATGAGGGCTTCGAGGTCGGGCCCGGTAACGTGCTCGAAGCCAGGCGGGCGACGCACCACCCACAGGAACCGGTGGCCGCTCGTCTCCAGGCCGACGGCCACCTGCTTGATCTGCTCCACGCTGAACACGCCCATGCTGCCGAAACAGAGGAACAACACGCTGTCCTTGGGCTGCGCGTCCAGCCAGGCGAGGCACTCATGGCGCTCTGCGCTGTCGTCCTCCCGCGGCTTTATCAGTGGCCCTATGCAGTGCAACGGCGGCGTTCGACGCCCTGGGAATGTGCAGAGGCCGGCGACGACGGCGTCAGCGGCGCGCCGCTCGAGGGACCGGCAGCTGTTCACCATAACACCGTGCGCGTTGCACACCTGTTCGGACAAGGCGAGGAAGTGATTGCTGCTCATGCTGTCGCGGTCGAACTGAGACCTGGGGAGGTGGTCGGCTGGTATCGGCGGGATCCCCGGCGCGTGCACGAGGTCACCACCGAGATCTCTGAAGCTCAGGGTATTCTCCCCCTGGACGACGGGAAGGTACAGCATGAAAGCGACGCTGGCGATGCAAGTGGTGAGGAAGAAGTAGGTCGGAATGCCGAGCTCGGCGCCGATGTTCAGGGCGCTGTAGCAGAAGAAGTCGATGATGAGGACGGCCGGGGAGGTGGACCGGAGAAAGTCACGTAGATCAGGGCCGGAAGAGCGTGCGAACTCGAAGATCCGAGACACGTAATCATCGGCGGGCACGTCGCATTGGAGCGTGGGTTGAGGGAGGCGATGGAAGGAGAGCTCCGGGTTGGCGGCCGCGGCTTCCGCCAGGAAAGACGTGGTAGCAGTAGCAGCGGCCTCCTTTTCGTCATGACCACCGAGGACGATGGTGATGTCGAGGCCTTGCGCCGCGAGCAGCTTTCCGAGCTCCACCGTGGAGACCAAGTGGCTGATCATCCCCGGCGGCGGGTAGATGACAGCCAGCTTCTTCGGACTCATTTCGGAACAGGGGATGGGACTCCGCGACTGTGATGAGAGGCTGCAGTCTGATGCGCTCATGGAATTGGGAAAAGCTTGTCAGCTTGCGTTGACTCTCCTCACGGCTCAGGCGCTCAGCGCAGTGTGCTGCTTAACGATAGCGTAGTGTGTTTCCTCTTGTAGTCTCATGTGCTTCACTCCGAACCGCAAACGTTACCTAACCTGGCAATCTGCCATCAAGACCGACTGGCGGCCTAGGAAATGACCTACCCTGCACTAAAAGAAAAAACATTTTTTCAGACGGTCAAAAGCAATTTTTATAGGCGGAGGAGAGGACCGCCTGCAGACTGACGACAGTGAAAATCATCCATTTTTGCAAGCGGGCGAATGGCCCGCTTGCGAAAATCCAATAAAAAAAATCGCCTCCCCCGGCCTCCCTCCGGCCGGATCTGGGAGGGGATGCCGGGGAGCCGCCGCCGCCGCACCGGGAGAGGGCCGCCGCAGGAGGGGAGACGCCCACGTTGCAGCCGCCGCCGCTGCCCTCCCCCGGCCTCCCTTCGGCCGGATCTGGGAGGGAGGAGGGAGGCCGGGGAGCCGCTGCCGCCGCACCGGGGCGCCGCCGCGTCCGCACGCGCCACCGCCGCCGCCCTCCCGCGGCCTACCTTCGGCCGGATCTGGGAGGGAGGAGGGAGGCCGGGGAGCCGCTGCCGCCGCACCGGGGCGCCGCCGCGTCCGCACGCGCCACCGCCGCCGCCCTCCCGCGGCCTACCTCCGGCCGGATCTGGGAGGGGAGGCCGGGGAGCCGCCGCCACCGCACCGGGTCGCCGCCGCGTCCGCATGCGCCACCGCCGCCGCCCTCCCGCGGCCTCCCTCCGGCCGGATCTGGGAGGGGAGGCCGGGGAACCACGTAGCCGCAGCCGTAGCCGCCCTCCCCCGGCTTCCCTCCGGCCGGATCTGGGAGGGGAGGCCAGGGAGCCGCCGCCGTCGCCACACCGGGTCGCCGCCGCGTCCGCGGCCGCCTCCGCCGCCGGTGGAGGGAGGGAGGGGAGGGGATGGGGTGCTGAAAAGCCGGTGGTGGAGGGAGAGAGAGTTGAGAAGATAGAAATGAGTGGTGGGGAGGGGGTTGGAGCAATAGATAAGGATCAAAGTTTTTTTTCGGTAGGTACGATTTTTGCAGGATTTTCGCAGACGGACAACGAATTTCACCCCGATTTATATTTTTGTTGGCGGTCATTTGACTCCCAGGCTCATGTCCGCCTGCGAAAAAAAGACTCCTACGTTAGAAAAAAAATACTTTTTTAGTAGTGCTGGTACGTGAATTAAGGCCGGGAAATGACTATTATGACGCGGCCGCGTGATTGTATCGCTGTCTGGAGGACGACATGGTAGAGGGGAGAAACATGCATGCCTGTGCTACATGAAATGAGGCAGTTATGGACTTGTGGTGCAGTCTTTGACACGTGATAATTAACAAGTGTCCTTTGTCCACCGTTGTTAAATCGAGATGGAGGAAATCGAAATAGCGGTGGACTCCAGTTTTACGATATCTCCAACCAGAAACTATCAATTAGTTTTCATATTTGCCATGTCACATAGATATTATGTGTAGAAATTATATATCCAATGGATAGTGTTTTCAAATTAATTTTCATCTAGTTACCTCTTTTCTCTCTTCTTTTATCTATTTATTCCTTTATTTTCTTTCTTAATTCTTGTGTAGATATGGTTTCTTCTTGTTTTTTTTTTACCCATCTTCTCATTAACTTTCTTGCCATTGTAACAATGTATTTAATGTTATGGACACTAGATGACATGGAGAACTGGGGATGTCGCCCTTAGTCCTTTACGGTAGTAGAGACAAGGAGAATCGAAACATACGCCAATGGCAGCAGCATCGGTGTCGACATCATGTTATTACACTTTAACTATCATTAACTCAGGATTACCCGCAAATATTTTTTAATTAAATTGCACCTAACGTTACAACAATGTATTCCTTCCAAGATAAATCCAACTATAGAGATGAATATGGACACGAGTAGTAGATAGGGGTAATCTATTAAATTAAGAATTTTACTATAAATGCAATAACTTAGCAAATAGACATGTTTTAGTTAAAAGAAAAAACTTAACAACTTAATATTTGGTACAAGAATTTGGCTAGATATGTGTTGTTCTTGTTAACAAGTACTAAGTGAGATTTTTCACGATGTCAATATACCATCACATCACACAGAAATCATATGGATATTAATCCATTACAATATCTATCTATCTATCTATTATATTGTTAAAACAACCTTGAAAGAAGTCACTACGTTTACTGTGGAGGCTAGAAATTACCACATTAATCAGAAAAAAAAGGAAAATATACACCATTGAATTATGATATATTGATAGATCTATAATTTAACCATTGTGATTGATTGGACAAATATAAGTAAGAGTCCTACTCAAACTCTGTGAAAAAAAACTGTGCAGCAAAAAAAAAGTCCAAGTTCTATTCAGACTCTCAAGTCCCAACCGGACAACACTGACATCTAACACGTTCTTTTTTAAAAAATCAGAGAAGCTCAGTAAAACAAAAAAAAAAAATCAATCCTCCTGCTTGGCAGTCTGCCAAATATTATATACGGACATAAAAAAAAGAAAAAAAATCTGCTCCAATTCATGGTGGACATACGTTATCTTTACTATTATAAAAATTGAATATGTTTTTGCCGAGATTTTGGTACGTCATTCGTGTCTGAGTTAGTTTCTAACCTCTACCATTATAAAAATTGAAGATGTTTTTACCGGTACTTTGGTATGTCATCCGTGTTTGAGTCGATTTTTTAATTTTATGTTATCTACTAAAATTTACGTTGTCTGTTAAAAAGAAAAAAAAATGTGTCTGACTCAAAAGCGATTAAAAACAACCTTCTGTCGTCACTCGTCAGTAAAAATAGAAAAAAAAACATCTAGAGTCCGACTTCGGTAAAAAGTCTCGCCACTTGTATTTTTCCGACTTTTTGCATGCGAAAGAGTTTTTTTTTTCGCACGCATTTAGGCTCTTGGTTTTTTTTATCCGTTTTTTAATCCGATCGCGCCTCCCGGGCACTTTTGTTTTTTTTGTCAATTTTTTATCACCGGTTTTTTCTCCCGTGCGATTTTTGTTTTTCTCATCTGGTTTTTTAATCCGATCATTCGCCGCACGCCTCCCGAGTTGAACCCTGGCGCCGTGCCGCCACCATATCGATTGTGCGTTTTCTCCTCCAATTTGATTGCAAAAATCGATTCCTCGTTCCTCCCTCATCATTTTCTCCATTATTTTCCCTTTCGATTCGGTTTTAATTTATCGGATTTAATCTCCTTTAACAATTGCTGATGATGACGGCGATCTTCCCCGATCATTTTTAGCCCGAGTTTTGCACTCTGATTTTAGAAAAAAAATGAAAAGAGGAGATCGTGGATAAAAAAACCTCAACCAATTTTGGGTGATCGAGAAAGATTCGGCCGGATTTCCGGATTTGATGGGGAAACAAAGAGTTTTACACTCTGATTTTGGAAAAAACGGGAAGAGAAGATCGAGTGGATTAAAAACCCTCGATCAATTTTGGGTGATCGAGAAAGATTCGACCAGATTTGATGGGGGAGATTTGCTCCGGCAACCGTACGGCCACGGGACTAGCAACCGTACTGCCACGCCACGGGACTATCTTCGGGAGACTGGCCTAAGGCTAAAATGGAAGGAAGGCTATTGACCCTAAACCCATGAAAAATTTTCATTAACTTTTTCAATTATAATGTATATAGCGATCCCAAAACGCATGGGCATTTTTTCTAGTAATTATTAAGATTGATCATTGCCCAGAAATAAGTACCGGGCAAATCCTACTCACAAGTGGTAAAAATACTAGAAAAATATAAAATAAAACCCAAGAACAAAACATGAATCTATCTATTTGAACTCCCTATCGGGCAAAGACTGACAACTGACAAGCTCTTCTTTTTAATAGTATCTAGTTATTTTTAAAAAAACATATTAATTGTATTCAAGTATGAATACAATTTACAAATAACTGAAATTTCAAATAAAAAATAAAGTAAATTACGAAATTATAAAAATAAAAATAAAAGTTCAAATAGGAATAAATTTATAAATAATTGAAATCTGAAATAAAAATTATCACATTAATTGAAGGAAAAAATAAAGTTTAAGTAGGAATACATTTTTTAAAAAATAACTGAAGTTCAAAATAAAAATAAGAAATTAAATCATAGTCTATCTAGAACATAACATGAGATTAATTAAATTCGAAATAAAATAAAAAATAAAAATTCAAAATAGAAAAAAAATATAAAAGTTCAAGTACGAATACAACTAAAAATAACTAAATGAGAATAAAAAATATTGAAAGAAAACTACTACGATATAGAATAAAAGATAAAATAAATTCTATTGTATTATAAGAGGACAAGACGAAGCTGGCAAAGTATATGGGCACCGACGGCTAGCGAGACTTCTATAAACTATAGAAAGAAAACCAAAGAATAATCATGTTCAATTTTTAAAATCCCAATAACAATGAAGAGTTCTAATAGGAATAGAACTTAGAAATAATTAAAATTCGAAATAGAAAATAATGCATATTGAAAGAATAGTCTAGATAGGGTACAACACGAGATTAATTAATTAGACCCCGATGATAATCATATTTGATTTAAAAATCTCAATGACATTAAAGAGGGGAGACAGCGGGCAAGCCGTAGAGGAGTCCAGTGACAAAGCAGCTGATGGTTTGGCAGGACTTCTAGAAAGTAAAAAATGAACCCAAATGGTTTGATTTTAAAATTTTCAATAACAATAAAGAGAGAAGGCAGCGGACGGACCATAGAGGAGTATAGTGACGCGTTTGACGGGACTTCTAAAAATAATAAAAATGAAACTCAACGAAACAACAAACAATAAAAACTATAAAAACTACAATGTCCAATTTTTAAAGATCCTGACTTCTAAAAAGTAAAAAAAAAAGACAATGATAATCATGTTCGATTTTATATATTAACGACAATAAAGAGGGGAGGCAGCGGGTGAGCCATAGAGGAATACAGTGGTAAAGTCGCTAACGGTTTGGTGAGACTTCTAGAAAGTAAAAAAATGAACTCAAACTATAATTATATTCGATTTTTAAAATCCCAACGACAATAAAGAGTAGACAGCGGACGAGCCATAGAGGAGCATAGTGGCAGCGTTTAACGAGACTTCTAAGAATTAAAAATAAACCAACGAAGCAGTGAACTCTAAAAACTAAAATGTTCATTTTTAAAGATTCCAAGGAGAATGAATAGAAATAGTAGTAGATCAAGCAAGCAAATAAAGAAGGGTGACAGGAGTAAGGGGTATCAACTGGTATGACTTTTAAAATCTATAAAAGTAGAAACACGGGGATGATAAGGTTTGGCCTTTGAAAATCTTAACACAAAAGATAGCTATTGGAAATTTTTAAGTAAAAAATAAATAATTTTGTATGGGTGCTAGCCACGCAATTGCCAAGACACCCAACTAGTTGAATTTAATTAATCTATAATAATTATGTTGCTTGTCAAATTTTTATCATTGGTTTGGATATTTTTCTTCACCTTCTTAAATCTTACCAAATTTTCTAGTAAATAGTAAAATTTAATTTATTTTTAATTACTACAATGATAAAACAAATTAAATATGTTTTAGTAAATTTGCAAAACTATATGGAAAAAATAGGAACTTAAAAACTAAATGTGTATAGAAAAAAACTCAAAATAACTAAGTTGTTGCAACACATCATAACTTACTATATCAAAATCACGCACACCTTACAAATTTTTGCATCTGTATGTTCACTAATTAAATTATTCTACTATATTGCACTCACTTGTTAAGTTGTTGTACTAGTACGCTCACTTTTTAAGTTCTTGCAGTAAATTACATCCGCATATTAAGTTGTTGTATCACAAATATAATTTACTCCGGAAAATGCTATAGAACGGTATCCCGTTCGGACGGATGATACATATGAGGTATCATATCCTGATACATAACCGGTATCAGGTGATACTTAGCATTCCCCTTTACTCTTTATTTTAAATCTTATAGATTTTGCACCGTTAGATCCGTGCCGAAATTAGTGCCTAGGCTCCTTGTCCTCCAACTCCGATGAGTTCCTTCTATTCTTCGACGTCAACGCCCTAACTTTGGCAAAGGACATACATGTTACGGTTTAGGATTGGGGTTAGGGTAGGAGGAGGAGGAGAGAGGAAGAGGGAGGTTTTGCAGTGGCCTAGATGGATGGTCGTGGGTGGTGCAGAACCAAATGGTGGGCGAAGTGGACATGAACGGGTGGTGAGGTTTCCCTTACTATTTAGAGGAGGGTTATCGCACCCCCGCGGTAAGGCTGTTACTGTGGTAACCATGTGAATTCGTCGGCAAACATTTGAATTCAAAATTTGGCGGTTTCACAGTTTGATAGCGGTTATCACACGGTTTAACGCGGTAACAGTGATATTTATACGGTAACCGTGAGTTGTGTTGCTAAACAAAACAATGCTAAAAAAATCACTTAAATGTGTGTAGATATTAGGGATAATTAGAAAAATATATATAGGATACTTGTAAACCTAACTTTTGGATGTCAAAACACAAAAAATGGGGCTTAGGAGATATTTTCTCCTCTATTGGGCCTCAATGGACCGGTTGCAGATGCAACTTAAGGCCCAATTTTTTTTTTCTTTTTCCCATTTTCTTAACTATCATCAATTTTTCCCTCAAATTTGATTTTATCTTACTCTTTTTCATAAAATTTCTTCACCATCTACCATAAAAATCAAGAACTATGTTCACGATTTTTTTTTTGGAAATTTTGAATTTGGTCAAAATTCTTCAAACTCTATTGCAGGTAACTATTACCGTACCCCGCGGTAATCGCGCAGTTACCGGTGGTAAGGAAAACCATGGTAACGAGGTGTTAGAGTCGTATGGTCGGTGTCAGTAGCAAGGACAAAGAAGTGCAACTGGTTAGGAGGCAATGGTGATGATGTATTTGATGACAGGAAGACGACGTGGATAAATGTTGGATAGTATAGGGAGGAGAGGAATATTGTGAATATTTGACACGTTGTATTGAGCCTCGGGGACCGATGTATATAGGAGTACATGTATTGGATCTTAAGTAAACCCAGAAAGTCAGAGAGATAGAGATGGAAACTAAACCTATCCTACCATAACAAACCGGATACGATACGATCTTATCCATATACTCTAACATCCCCCCGCGGTCTAAGCGTGAGCAGCGCAGACACTTGGACTGGAGAAGAAACTAGCAAGAATGCTTAATACGGATGATAGCCCTTTGTGCCATAGTCGACGTAGCCAAAGCGAAGGATGTGAGGGACCCGTGGTCAATGAAGCCTGCGTAAAGTAGCCATGATGGATGTAGCCAAAGTCGAGGTTGTCGAGCCGCAGGGCGCGCATGGGGTGCCGTAGAGTGGTCGTGGATGCACGGGAGGGCGTCATGGACCAAGGTGCGCGAGGACGCGCTAGAGACAATGACGGTGACACTATCGTGACAGTCGTTGAGGAAGATGACGCTGAAGAGCCGATATAGTCGAACCGTGAAGGATGAGATGTCATGCCGGGTTTGCCAGACCCGGGGACAACTTGGGATGAACGCTCGTGCCGGTGTTGCCAATACCGTGTGGGCGAGGCAGGAGACCACCATGAATCATAAGCCAATGTCGGAGGAGACTAGCAGAGAAGGCCTCCGGGATGGTCGCGGCGTGAGAACGGAGTAGAGGGAGAATTGCCGGAGCAGCATGCGGTTGTCGGAGAAGAGCATAGTGTAGTCGAGAAAGATACGGCGATGTTGGCAATAAGGCATGCTGGACGAAGACAAAATAGTGGAACCAACGGCCTGAACGGCGACGTCAGTAGCCATGTAGAGGTAGCTAGACCACCAGCCTAGAGAGGCGACGGTGGCAACTTGGAGACGCGGCGGCAATGCTCAAAGTAGACAAAGAACCCGACAGCTAAAGATGACCGATGTAGAAGATGAGGGTGTTCAAGCGCGAACAGCGATGAAGAGGACGAAAGCGGTGAAGCGGCGGTCCGAGAGGACAACACAGCTGCAGCTCCATGTCGATGCAGCAGCGAGAAGTCCACCGGTGATGTAGCCATGCTGAGGAGGGTGTCTCAACACTGCAACAACTAGTGGAGGTGTGGACCACAGGCAGCGGCATGCGGCCCGAGAGGGCGACGCAGTGGCAACCCGAAGCTTGATGACGTAGATGCGTAGTCGAAGACGATCGGCGGCAAGGTGTCATCGTAGCCGGGCGCTTGAACAGGTGATCAAGCCGATGATGCGCAGGACAGGACGACGAAGTGGAAACCGAGTCGATGTCGATGTTGGAGACATGCAGATGCCGACGAGGCGACGGGGGACGCAAACCCAATCTCTGATCGGGGAAAAACACACACACAGATACAAGCGGTAGCACACAGTAGCAGCAGACCACGCCAAAACGACACAAATACCACCGAAACTCCATGGCCCAACCTCACCAGTCCACCCCTGCAGCCACATGGGAAGAGGAGATAGGGGAGAGGCAGAGGACAGCGGGCGTGGAGAGGGACGACGGCCTTGACGAGGACTGGCGGGGTCGGGGGCGTCGTGAGGAGCGGTGCGGCATTGGGACCCAGTGGTCGGCGGGCGATAGGCTCCATGGGGTGACGCGTAGGACGGCTTCGGCGGTGGATGGGGAGCCGGAGGTAGGGCCTTGGCCTGGCGGCCGCGTCGGAGGCGGCGCACGGAGGGAACGACGACCTCGGCTGCCCACCGGCGATGAGATCCCCCAGGTGACGACGTCCCAAGCGGCGGAGACGAGTCCGACCCAATGCCGCGCCGACGACGAGGACCCGCGGTGGAGAGGAACCGGAGGGAGGTAGTGGTGGTGGCCGGTGCCGGCGGGGTCGAGCCCCATCCCTCCGGCGGCGACGTTCAGATCGGGAGCCGGGAAGCGACGCCGACCGTGAACCCTGGCACGGTGAAGAGGCGGGCGATGAGGTCACGAGCGTCAGCGTCGGTGGGGCCGCACAAGCCGTCGGCGCCGCCGCAGCGGGAACCGAGGCGGGCGGCGAGGTCCTTGGCGAGGAGGCGGGCGACGGGTGGGGTCCCAGATCCCGACGGCGTCGGCGAGGCCGGGGCTGAGGACAACGGCAGCCTAGGTCTCTGCGTGGCGGGGGGTCCTGGGTGGCGGGGCAATGCCGACGAAGAGCCGGAGCAGGCCGGGGGTTGGCCGTGGGGCGCCGCTGGCCTCGACGAGGTGCTTGTGGCGGCGGCCACCGAGTGCAAACCGATTTGCTACTGAAGCTGCTTGACGATGACGACTCGACGAAAAACGGTCGTGAAGTTCGATATCTTCAAGACAACGACGACAGCGACGAGGAAGAAAACAGAAAAACGGGTGGCTGCCCTCGGGAGCGTGATCGCCTCCCAGAGGCGACGGCAGCAGAAGCGGTGAACGGCAGCTGTATGTCGCCCGCTCCGATATCATGTTGGATAATATAGGAAGAAGAGGAATTGTATAAATATTTGACACGTTGTATTAAGCCTTAAGTCCGGTATATATGAGTACATGGATTAGATTTAAATTAAAATTAGAGAGACAGAGGTGGAAACTAATTATATTCTACCATAACAAACCATACAATTAGATTTTATCCATATACTCTGATAATAAAGACAAGGGATAAATATCATCGCGGCCATTCTAGTACGTTGCTTTATTAACAACAAATAAGGTACACAAGTAGTTCTTAAATGATTATCGTTGAAAGGGCCCCCGGTCCCCAGGCAAATAAAGAGCATCTGAGAATTTTCGTCACTTGTGGCCAAGATGCTGGGCATCTGCAAATTTTCGTCAGTTAGTTCTGGACAAGATTCTCCACATCGGACAGGAACTGGACGAACGCAGCGTGCGACGAGCCCCCTTCCTCCAGCGCCGCCTCTGCCTCCTTCTTCCGCGCAGCCGAACGAGCCCTGAGCTGCTTCCCTTCCTCCGACTCCATCACCAGCCTCACCTTGGCCTCCAACTCCTCCGCTTTGACAAAGTCCGAGTTGTACCCGTCCAGCTCCACCCCGACGCCCATCTCCGCCGTCATGAACACCTTGTTCATCTTCTGCTCCGCGTACTGCGGCCAGCACAGCATCGGCACCCCCGCCGTGATGCCCTCCAGCGCCGAGTTCCACCCGCAGTGCGTCACGAACGCGCCGGTCGCCCGGTGGCGGAGCACGTCCACCTGCGGCGCCCACGTCGTGACGATGAAGCCACGGTCCTTGGTACGCTCCACGAACCCATCCGGGAAGAGCGCGTCGAGGTCCGGCGCCGCGCGTTGCTCGAAGTACTTCTTCAAGCCTTCGGTGGTTGTCGGCGGCGTGCGCACGACCCACATGAACCGTTGCCTGGAGTTCTCCAAGCCGACGGCGATCTCCTTGAGCTGCTCCGCGGAGAACACGCCCTTGCTCCCGAAGCAGAGGAACACGACGCTGTGCTCCGGCTGAGCGTCGAGCCAGACGAGGCACTCGTGCCTCTCGGCCGCCTCCTCCGCGCCGCCGCCGACCAAAGGCCCGACGCAGTAGATCGGAGGCAGCACCTTGCCTGGGACGCAGAGCGGGTCGTCCCTGAGCGCCTGAGCCGCCCGGCTCTCCAACGATTCGAACGAGTTCACCAGGACGCCCATGGTTTCCGTGTTGCGCTCCCAGCGGTTCACCATGGCCTTGCACAACTCGTCCTCCGGATGCTCGAGCAATTCCTTGACGAGATGAGACGCCGGCATCGGCGAAACACCGAGGAAATCAAGCGGCGTGTCGCCAAGCTCCTTCAGGCCCGTCTCCCTACCGGCAAGAAACGGTGGGAGCTGGGTCAAGACGGACAGCACCGAGACGCCCGAGGCGAAGAACGTGTACACCGGCACGCCGAGCTTTGCGCACACGTCGATGGCGTCGACGCAGAACATGTCGATGACGAGGGAGTGCAGGCGCTGTCGAGGGATGGAGAGGAGGAAGCTCTCGAGCCGCTCGTTGTACTGGCGCAGGAGCTGGATGACGAGGAGGAACGGGTGCTTGCCGAAGCTGGCGAAGTCGGGGGCGGGGAGTGGCGGGAGGACGTGGAAGGAGACGGAAGGGTTGGAGGCGACGAGGCGCTCGACGGCGAGGGCGCCGGAGTCGGACGACTTGAAGGGCGGCTCCAGCAGCACCATGGTGACGTCGTGCCCGTGCTTGACGAAGACCTTGGCGAGCTCCAGCATGGGGACGACGTGGCCGACGCCGCCGCCGGGGTACAGGACGACGGTTTGCTTCATGACGCCCAAATGGCCGGAGGTGTGTGCAACACTGGAACAGAAAGTAATGGTTGGAGGTGTGTCAACTTCAGATGTCGCGAGTCGTGACTTCAGTTTGGCTGGAAGGCTGGAACAGAAAGTAATGGTTGTGGTACTTAAATAGGCGTCATGCCTTGCCGGGGAAGCAGTGGACTTACTTCGAGTCGCGGGAATCAAAGTATCCCTCCGTCCAACGGTATTTCAAGTTTTTGTTTACAAGTTTAACCATTCGTTTTATTTAATTTTTTTTTTGCAAATATAAAAAATAAAAAGTTGTACTTAAAATACTGTAGATAATAAAGTAAGTCATAAATAAAATAAATAATAATTTTAAAAAATTTTGAATAAGACGAATGGTCATATGTTACAAGTAAAATCTTAAAATCCCTTATATTTTAGGAGAGATGGAGTACTAATTAAAAGTCAAGTGCGGAGATACGTGTGGAGATCTGCCTCGGATGAAGCTTGATTAGATTGTGATACCTTGTGGAAGAAGACCACACTTGTGACAACGAGTGGCAGATCGAATGGCGGTGCGGTGGGAATGCGTACTGTAGGAGTTTAGTACTCTGTCGGAGTATTTATCTTGTCCGGCTGATGCCTCTGTCGGACATTTACTGCTACCCGGCTCTTATTGCTGCTTTAACGTGGGGGTGTGTTTAGTTCACGCTATTATTAGAAGTTTAATTGAGGGTATATTTAGTTCACGTTAAAATTAGAAGTTTGTTTAAAATTGGAACGATGTGACGGAAAAGTTGGAAGTTTATGTGTGTCGATGTGACGGAAAAGTTGGAAGTTTATATGTGTAGGAAAGTTTTGATGTGATGGAAAAATTGGAAGTTTGAAGAAAAAGTTTAGAACTAAACACGGCCTGAAATTGGAACGATGTGACGGAAAAGTTAGAAGTTTGTATGTTTAGGAAAGTTTTGATGTGATGGAAAAGTTAGAAGTTTGAAGAAAAAGTTGGTAACTAAACCAGACCGTGGTGCCAATGTCCTCATTTATCTAAGGCTGTGTTTAGTTCACACCAAAATTGGAAGTTTTGTTGAAATTGAAACGATATGACAGAAAAGTTGAAAATTTGTGTCTCTAGAAAAGTTTTAGTGTGATGGAAAAGTTGAAAGTTTGAAGAATTATTTTGGAACTAAACACGCGTAAGATTTTCTACACCTAGAATCGTACTCCCTCGTTCCTAAAATAAATTAACCTATTATGAAACATGATATATTTATAAATCTGAATATTCCATCCAGATTCATAATACATGTTAAAGATATGTCATATCTTATAATAGATTAATTTATTTCGGAACAAATAAAGAATCTACATAGTACTCCCTCCATTTAAGGATATAAGATGTTTAGTTTAACTAAATTTATAGACAGAAATAGTACTTCCTTCGTTTCATATTATAAAACTTTCTAGTATTGCCCATATTCATATGGAGTAGATGTTAATGAATCTAGGAGTAGATGTTAATGATGCCTAGATTCATTAACATCTACTCCATATGAATATGGGCAATACTAGAAAGTCTTATAACCTGAAACGGAGGTAGTAATATTTTCGACCCAAGATAAATTTATTATAAAAATATATTTAATTATTAATTTAATAAAACTATTTTGGTAAAGTAAATATTATTATTATATTTGTCTAAAAACTTAGTCAAACTTGAAGCAGTTTGATTTTGATCAAAGTCAAAACATCTTATAACCTAAAATAGATGGAGTATCCATTATTTATATGTGCTTGCTCCCTTACTAGACGAACCTACCGTGTGTTCATGTGTTGCTGCGGGTATAATCGTGGGGTTTAAGATTATGCTTTTATTGACATAGGTGTGTTTAGTTCACGCTAAAAATGGAAGTTTGGTTGAAATTGGAACGATGTGACGGAAAAGTTAGAAGTTTGTGTGTGTAGGAAAGTTTTGATGTGATGGAAAAGTTGGAAGTTTGAAGAAAAAGTTTGGAACTAAACTCGGTCATGCTCACAAAATTGTCTATTTCCACATTTAGGCTGCGTTCGGGAGTGCTAGTTCCCAACCCCTCTCTCTCGTTTTCCGCACGCACGCTTTTTAAAACTGCTAAACGGCACGTTTTTTTTACAAAAAGTTTCTATACTTAAGTTGCTTAAAAAATCATATTAATCTATTTTTGAAAAAAATTAGCTAAACCTCAATTAATCACGTGTTAAACGTTGCTTCGTTCTGCGTGTCGGGGAGTGAGGGTTCCCGAACATAGCCTTATTAGAAGATTTAGGCCCCCTTTGAATCACAGGAATAAAAAAACGGAGGAATAGGAAAAACATAGGATTCTGATAGGAATACAAGTGGAAAACAAAGGATTACAAAACACAGGAAAAACATAGGAGGAATGACCGTTTAATTGAGCCACAGAAAAAACAAAGGAATTTGAGGAGAGATAAAGACTCAAAGGATTCTTAACATGAGGTTCTACCTCATATTAAATTTCCTCCAAAACTTACATAGAAAGAGGCATTCCATAGGAATTTCATATAATTTCATAGAATTCATTCCTCTGATTCAAGAGGCTATTCACAGGGGGGGAGGGCTTACATTGCAGCCACTTAAACTGAGTCTGAAAGATAAAAAGGAGGATCTATGAACCAATACACGTGTTCTTTATTTGCACCATATATCTTTCCTCACTCTTTCCCCTCCATATCTGTTCTATGATTTTTCTACGAAGAATTATTTCCCTTCTCTCATCCGCATGTTAGTACCATTGCTACTTTTCTTCACCGCAGCCGACTCCCGACTCCCGAGCTTTTACCCTCCCGACTCCCGAGCTTTTACCGTGCTTAAAAGCTTAGTCTTTGTTTGGTTTGAAGGGATTAAAGAAAAATAATTTCACATCATAATATATGTGGAATAAATCCTCTTTAATCCTCTCTTCTAAGGATTAACTGAATATGGCTTGAAGAAAGTATTTCTTGAACATTGTCCATCCAACAGGATCTTGAGAGGGGAAATGTTCATGGCCGCAGCCACCGGTCACTTGCCATGAGGATATGTACAGAGGTAGAGTCAGATATGAGCTCTACATTATCTAGAGACTAGCATCCTACAACAGTTAGAGACAATATAGTCTCTAATCATTAATGTATCAAAATACTTTTTCTTACTCTTCTTTACTTTCTTTCATCACCATGCAACAAAATCTGCTCTAATAAATGCTAAGAGTCGACTCTGAGCCGTTGTCATGTATAACAAACATACTCCTTTCTCTTTCTTCCATGTCATCAAATTTACTTGCATGGCAATAGAGAGACCACTAATAAAAACCGTTGTACTTGCATGGCAAATTTACTTGTTGTCTTCCTCATCATGGTGGAGACTCAAATTTTAGTGATTTAGAGATTTCGGTTTGGAATTCATATAGAAACCAATTGCTAGTTTTTCTATTTTATTATTTCTTAACTTCAATTAATCAAGTGAACTCTTCATTAAATATTAGTTATTTATTATGTATTTGCAAACAATGATTTAGGGGTGCAAGTGGGTTTACCCGCGAACCCGCTTATAGGTAAAAATAGTGCGTAACCCGCCGGTTTGACTAACGGATTAACTATGAATTTGATTTATAGATAGGTTTATAGATCGATTCACTTGTATATTTAGATGCGGCAAGCCGGGCCACGACGCGAAAACCCATAAATTATTATTTATTTAAACTCGCGGGTCGGCCTGCTTGCATCCCTACAATGATTCACGACTGCCTTTGGGAAACCAAGCAATGATGTCCGTCCATTGCTGCATATGTTGATCTAGGATGAGTCTCCCTTCGGTACTATTCTCTGACGTGAGTCCTGACATATAGATTCTTTGATGTGGGTTCCACATGTCAGCTACTCAAAGTGAAAGGATAGTATTGTAGAGGATTTGTTTCCGTTGATTTGTGCATTCTGCGCGTGCACGGTGCTTGCTTTCAATCTTCTTTTATATTGTTTAATTTTTAAATCCAAATTTAGCCATTTATAATATTTTTTTCTATATAGGCTCTTTTGTTCACTTTACACAATTATAATATGGATTAGATATTTTCTCCGATCAATATGATAATTTTTAGATGCTTTTTTCTCTGGCATGCCAATGTGTGTAGGGAATCCACATAACATTTTCTTTTTTTTTTGACTATTTTCTTTCCTATTTTGGATGTGTACATTTTGAAGTCGAGCACACATGATCTCAGTAAAAGTAATATATGAGCCCTAAAAATGTATACAACTTTATGTGTAAAAGCTTTATATATAGGAACACGCTTATACATACATAGAAATATCTGGTATATAAAACTTCACAAATATAAATTTTCGACATAGAAACTTATACCTAGAAACATTTGGTATAGAATCTTTATACATATATTTGACATAGAAATTCTATACATATAAACATTCCATATAGAAACTTTACACACATAAATGTTTAAATTAAATAAAGAAGAAAAGAATACACAAACACTTAATTAGGCCACATGTTTAGCCTAAATTAGATTTAGACCCAACACATGCTAGAAAAAAGGTAGCAAATCAACCCCACAAAGGAAATTTCCTTGTGTCCAATCTATGAAAGTCACAAACAGGTTTCGATTTAACTTGGAAATTGCTAAAATAGAAAGTGCTGATAAAACACCTCCCAAGTAGCCAAGCAGGGATAGATCCAACATGGGCGTTGTGGGGACTCAAGTCCCCTCTGCCCCACTAGATCACTATTGATAGAAGGAGATCCGAAGGGGGAAACAGAGTATGAGGTAAAATCATCTCCAACAGTCTCTCCATCTAACTCTCTAAGTTAAATTTTAGCAACTTTAGTAGAAAATAGCACTCCAACAGACTTTTTACTCGGATGGACAAGTTAAATGACTGGCCAAACTCCTCTCCCAACTAGCCAAATTTGGCTATCCAAACAGACTAGCCAAACATGGGCCCCACCATCTCTCTCCTCTCTCACGCCCATCCGTGGGACACGTCGCTCCCTCTCCATCGTCGTCCCCAACTCCGCCCGTGCCAGCCATCGCGCCGCGCGAGGCCGAGGTGGGGGAAGCGACAGCGGATGGGAGGAAGGAGGCCGAGGTAGGGGAGGCGGCGGCGGATGGGAGGAAGGCGGCCTCTCCTCGCCGGCGATGGGGAGCCCCCTCCTCCTCCTCCCTGCGTGTCGCTGTCACCGAGGTGGGGGAGGCGGCGGCGGATGGGAGGAAGGCAGCCGCTTCTCACTGGCCTTCCTCGCTCCTCCTTCGTCGGCGATAGGGAGCCCCCTCCTCCTCCCCGCGCGTCGCTGTCGCTGCCGGAGGAAGGAGGCCGAGGTGGGGGAGGCGGCGGCGGATGTGAGGAAGGCGGCCACTCCTCGCCGGCGATGGGGAGCCCCCTCCTCCTCCTCCCCGCACGTCGCTGTCGCCGCCACCGGCTTCCCATCCACCGAGCACAACACCGAGAGAGGGGGAGAGAAAGAGTAAAGTCTGACTTGTGGGTCCTGTTGTCATAGACTCCAAGTAGAGAGTGTAGATAGAGATGCTGTTGGAGTAACCTACAAGTTTGACTCTTCAAATCAATTAGAGAGTTGGCTATATAGGTGTTTAGAGAGTCAGATTTGGGTAGTCTGTTGAGATGCTCTAAAGAGGAAGAATGGGAGGGGCTGAAGGAGAAAGCAGCATATGAGCTGTCCTATAATGTTTTTATGGATCCGCTCGTGCTCCAAGGAAAAAAGAAAAGGAACCTGATAAAATCAATCCGCGCTCAGGCACACATACATCCACGCGTTAGCCTTTTAAGTTCGTTTAAACATACTCCCTCCGTCTCAAAATATAAACATTTTTAGAGTTTGCCATGATCTTCGAGATGTTACTTTGACCAACAATATATTTTTATAAAAACAAGATGTTTTAAATAAAAAGAGTTACATATCACTTGTTTAATGATAAATCTAGTAATATCAATTTTATATGATTGATCTTTTTTTATTTTTTTCTCCAGCCAGCGAGCGTAAGAATGGAGCGAGCGAGCATGCTTAATAATCAAAGTTAAAAATGTTTAACTTATCACTATGCTAAAAATATTTATATTTTGAAATGGAGAGAGTAAACAATAGACACTACACAGTACACACACTTACATGGATGACTATGCCGAATGTCCACCGATAACAGTGTACTCTTACATGGATGACCATGCTCAGTGCCCACCGATATCTCGTGTTATCAGAAAGAACATCCATTATCCAATCCTAAGAGAACCATACAGTACTCAAATTATGTTGCTCACAGTCGCAGGTAAACACAGTGCCCGACAAATTACCATGGCTCGAAATCATGCACTAACCATGCCTCTGGAGACCTGCAGCGGCAGGTCCTCGAGGAACTTGAAAAACGCGGCATGAGACGAGCCCCCTTCCTTGATCGCCTGGGCCGCCGCATCCTTCACCGCGGCCGCGCGCTGCCTGAGCGCCTGGCCGCCCTCGGACTCCATCACCCACCTGACCTTCGCCTCCACCTCCTCCGCCACCACCACCTCCTCGTCGTAGCCCCTCATCTCCACGCCAAGCTTCATCTCCTCCACGACGAACACCTTGTTCAGCCTCTGCTCCGCGTACAGCGGCCAGCACAGCAGCGGCAGCCCCGCCGTGATCCCCTCAAGCGTCGAGTTCCACCCGCAATGCGTCACGAACGCGCCGGTCGCCCTGTGGCGGAGCACCTCCACCTGCGGCGCCCATAGCTTCACCACGAGCCCTCTCCCCCTTGTCGCCTCCATGAACCCGGCCGGCAGGAGCGCGTCGAGGTCTGGCTCCGCCAGCGGCTCGAACACGTTCTTTTCGTCGATGCGCGGGCTCCGCACGACCCAGAGGAACCTCTTCTCCGACTTCTGCAGGCCAATGGCGATCTCCTCGAGCTGCTTCTTGCAGAACCTTCCCAAGCTCCCGAACGAGAGGAACACCACGCTGTTGTCCGGCTGCGCGTCCAGCCACCGGAGGCAGTCGTGATCCTTGTCGCTGCCACCGCCACCCGAGACGATTGGCCCGATGGAGTAGACCGTCGGCGTGGCACGGCCGGGGACGCAGAGCCCGTCCTCCAGAGCGCGCAACGCGCGCGTCTCCAGCGACTCGAATGTATTGACAAGAATTCCTCTCGACTCTGGATGCCGACGGAACATCAGTAAGATAAGCCTGGATGCTTCGTTGTCACTGAGAATATCTGATGGTAACTCTGAAGCTTTGAACGGAGGACAGCCCGGGATGTGGATCATGGAGTCACCGAGCTCCCCGAAGCTTGTGTTGATGCTATCTCGCATGCTGGTTAGGTGGAGGAAGACGGCGAGGTCGCTGGCGGCCGAGGTGAAGAAAACGTAGACCGGTAACCTGAGCTCGGAGGCGACGTCGAGAGCGTCCGTGCAGAACATGTCGACGATGAGCGCGTCCACGGAGGGCAGCGAGCAGAGGAAGTCGCGGAGCGGCGCGTTCATGGCGTTGAGGAACCCGAGCATACCGACGATCGGGGACGCGGACTTGCCGTCGGAGCCGGAGCCCACGGGCGCGGGCGGTGGCGGCGGCGGCGGCAGCACGTGGAAGTTGATGGCGGGGTTGCACTCCGCGAAGCGCGCGACAGCGGCGGAGAAATCGGGAGAGTCGAGTGGCGGCTTGACGGCTGCCACGGTGACCGCGAGGCCGTGGCGGAGGAACACCTTGGCCAGCTCAACCATCGGCACCAGGTGGCCGACGCCGAGGCCGGGATACAGCACCACGGTTCTCTCCATGGCGTGGCGTGACTCCAACGCGGCGCCGCGCGCTCAGTCTCCGGGTGACACGCCCGCGAGGCCGGGGGCGCGGCCGGGATGTGGTGTGGCGGAGATTCGAGTGCCAAACTGCCAATCGAGATCTTATCCCCGAGCGACATAAACGTGGTGTTGGTTACGAACTGACGACTGGCTACGTATGTGCGAGTATCAATGCATGTTTGGCTACGGGAGCCTGTTGGACTCAAACGACTCGACACCACATACGGAACGAATGACCACATACGGAACGAACGAACCAGCTCACGGGAGCCTTTCCAACGACGCTAAGGCTATTGACAGTGCGTCTCGAATTTTTGCTCAGCCTGGAGTGCCACGTGGGATGAAGCTCCTACAAATCAACTCATCCCACAGTGCAGTTACTACTAATGGGTCCCACCACCAAACACTTTTTCCATCCCTCCTCTCTCGCACTCCCTTTACCTTTTCTCTCACTCCTTTTACCCTTTCCAAATCCACCCCCACACGGCCACACCAACCGGCGCCCCTCTCTGACGACGGACATGGCCGGAGCTCCGGTGGCGGTAGACATGGAGCTCGGGCGGCAGAGGTCGTGGAGGTCGCCACCTGACCTCGTCTTCCTCGAGGACGACGGGTGGGAGCACGGTCGTCCTCGCGGAGGTCGCCGCCGACCGGACTCGGGCGGAGTGGCGGCTCAAGCAGCGTCGGCTGGGTAGCCAGATCCGGTCTCCACCGCGGCCATCCACCTTCCACGGATCGACCTCGAGCTCAAGCAACGGCGGCTCAAGCAGCGGCGGCCGGGCAGCCAGATCCGGCTCAAGCAGCGTCAGCCGCGCTGACATGAACAGTCGGCGACGGCGGGCTTGGCCACGTCTCCTCTCGCGTGTCCCCGCCGCCTCGTCCGCGTCTTCCTCGCGCGCCGCCGCCGCCGCCTCGTCCACGTGGCGACGGCTCGTCGGGGCGCGGCGCAAGGATGGCCGTGGTCATGGCTTCGTCACCGCCGGCGTGGTCGTCGCCGCGCTGCCCTCCTCGCCTGCGCCGACGAGTCCCTCCCCCTTCTCTCTCTGTCCTGCTTTCGCCATGGGTGTGGATGTGATTCTCTGATTTCTCTGTGAAAAAGCTGTTTTCCACTGACGAGGTACTCGGAGCCAAACGCGAATCTGGTTGAGCCATGGGCCCCACCTCCTTTTCCCCTCGACGTATGTAATCTGGCTAGTTGGAGAGTTGAGGCCAAAATGCCATGTAGCTGGTGACTTGATGGAATGGGACAGACATTGCTACTTGAATGGCGTGCCTGGAATGGATTGCTGGAAGACTCCAAAGGACTCGCATTTGGTCCTGGCAGGCTGGCAACATCGTACTTCCTCCGTCCCACGAAGGTTTTTTTTAAATATTTGTGTCCTATCGCCTATCTTACTTAAAAAAAATATAAAATGCTATTTATATTTATCATCTAATAATAACAAAATATTAATCATAGAAAATTATTAAATAAGACAAAGAGTTAAATATTCTATAAAAACTGAAAAATGAAATCTTCGTGTGGGACGAAGCGAGTAGCAAACATGCAGAGGGATTTCTGTTCGAGAGGATATCTTCTCATTTTATAGAGGACAATAACAAAAACTATAAAATCATATTTTTTTATAGAAAAGATAGGGGGATAGAGCAATGTATATTTTATTGAACATGCATACTCAAATTTAACTGGTAGAGATAGAAAAGAAGTATTAACACGACGGTGTGAATTTGATGTTCACGATTGAATTTAGCATTTTGGTGCTTTCTTTTCATCATTCAATGACTGAAATTTAGTCTGGCATATTAATCATCCATCTATATTTGTCCTTCCATCTACAAATTGACGCTAGGGAAAGTCTGCAGATCTGCTTAAAATCAATCTCTCTTGGCTCTAAAATTTATCCGTGAACCGAAATACCAGATATAGCGCGCCCTTCAACTCCTTAAACCAATGCAAACTTAATTCCAATGCGGTTTGGATGATGGTTTCGGCTGGCGTGACATCTACATGGTTGGTTTGACTGGATCTTCATCCCACGTGGCACTTGCAATCTAAAAAATGGTGGGACCCACATGTCAGTGAGTGTCTAGTTATAGTTAAAAATAAAAAAAATCACAGTGGGGCCCACTTTGAGGCGGAGGCGCCCTGCAGCCCCAGAGGTGCTGCTGACACAGCAGCGAGGGTAGGGTGTAGTGAAGCGAGGCGCTAGGCAGGAGAGGTGGTGGTAGAGGAAGGAGGACGAGACGAGGAGGTTGGGGCACAACGGCGAGGAGGAATAGGAGGTGCACGACGGGCTATCGTCGTGTGGCGTCCTTCTCCTCCCGAGCTGCCAATTGCTAGCCTTGGAGACAACCTCCTCGCTCTGCCCATCCACCCACCATCACGTCACCGCCCATCGGTCCTGCTCGCCGCCAGCATCCCCACTATCCCGACCAGGGCACCACCACGCTTAGCCACGGCGGCCCCCAATGATCCCTTCTCGTGCCACCTCTCTAACGCTCCCCACCGCCATTGCGACCGGCCGCCTTGCCACGCTGGCATTCTCCCCGAACACATTAGCGAGAAAGGGGAATCGGAGAAGAGTTGAAGAGAATGAGGAGAAGAAGCAAGAAAGGAGAAAATAAAAGGAAAAAATAGAAGGAAAGAAAACAAAAATAAGATGGGACCCATTGTACTTTTTTATTTTAATCGGATAATCATTGACATGTGGGTCCCACCATTTTTATGATTGTAAGTGCCACATCAACGCTACACGGGACGAGGATTCGGTAAAAAAATAGCCATGTTAGCCGAAACTGTTATCCAAACCGCCTTGAGATCAAGTTTGCACTGGGTTTAAAAGTTGATAAACGTGTTATATATATGATATTTCTGTTTAGGGATAAAATTCAGACTGTGTCAAGTTGAGAGATCTAAAGTGAACTTGTTCCTTGGAAGAAAGGCCTTATCAGTTTTGCATGTCAGCTGCCAGAGAATTTTTTTCGTTTTTAGATTTTTTTTTAATATTTACAGAAATAATCTATCGACCAAAAAAAATTACAGAAATAGCCCCTGCCGCCCTAATGGTGGGCGGCAAGCTGACGTGGCAGACGGTGGGTCGACCGCGCCGTCTGCCGCCGTCGGCCAAAATTGCGATTAGGCCCTTGCCGCCCATACAGAGGGCGGCAAGGGGCTAATTGCAATTTTGGCCGCCCATAAAGAGCTTGCGACCGTACTTTTTCATCTGGGTCCCTTGCCACCCCAATAGAGGGCGGCAAGGGACCCAGATGAAAAAAGTACGGCCAAAAGATTTTTCTATGTTATGTTAATAATAAATAAAGAAGTATTTATTGGTAAAACTTGTTAATATTGTTATAAAAATGTATTGAAGTTGGTTGTTGCGCAATTTCATATGTTAAGTGAGGTATTATTTTGTACCTTATTCGACGTATTAGTACTCGGATAATTTATATAGGCCTATCGCAGTCTGGGTCATAGAAACATTATATGGACTTAAACAAGGAGAATTATGTACAAGGAGAAAATCATGAGATTAATTATGTACAACAAGAGTACAGGCTATTTAAATATAGCAAACGTTACTAATGGTACATAACGATGACGTGCAATTTAACATATATGTAGAGTTCAATAATATAACATAACATTACGTGTCGAAGTCCGACATACATCAGCATACCTAAAGACGTTAGGCGCCTTAGTCCGACGTTACATCACGAGACCTAAAGACATGACATGCCGAAGTCTGACATTACACGACGAAACATAAACACATCAATAAGTTCGAAACAAATTACAAGCAAATCCACATGCCGACATAGAACATAAGAACTACACCACGTAGCCAGACGTGGCACGACGACGCCTAGGACGTGGTCGAGTGGAGGTAGTGCCTTCACCCGTAGGGCGAGCTCCATCTGCTGCTGATCCTGATAGTCCTGCCTCCGCCGCACTTGGTTTCTCCTTGTCTTTAGGACAATGCTTGTAGGTGTGCCCATGTTCATCGCATTTGCTGCAACGCTTCACCCTGCCAGCCTCCGACTCGTCCATATCGTTGCGGATGCGACGAGTCCTCCTCCTTCCAGCCTTGCCTCGGAGCTTCGATGGGTCAGGAATATTGAGTACTTCATCGTTAGTCTCTGTGAACTCCCCAGCTATGCCGAACCCATAAATCTCGCCGCTCCATGTATGATATATTGCTTGCTTACTGAAGTACTGTGACACATAACATCCCGCCTTCCCCCAGGCCGGGCCCACACATATACTGCATCTGTGTAACGTCCCGCCTTCACCCAGGCCGGGACTGCCCTCACAGACCAACACATGTCTTTTCTGCACACTTTGTCCTCACTCATGTGCACCCGGGAAGAATTTCCCGGTCGGTCACCCATCCCAAATTGCTCCAGGCCAAGCACGCTTAACCCTGGAGTTCTTTGGAGATTGGCTTCCGGAAAAGAAGTTGCAACTTGTTGATATGAATATTCTATTAATCCTATTAAGCCCTAGGCCGGGATGTTACAATCTGGTATGCCACACTCCGCTGCGGCAGCAATGACATGGCTGCATGGCCTGTGGAGCAGCTTCGGCTTTGCACAAGAGCAATGACATGTGCCGTCGGCTTTGAGAACACACTCCTGCTTCACTCTCTTGCGGTAGATACCCCTGCCTGCCTTATCTTGAGATAGTATCTCAAACCTGTGCTGTTGAGTACCTTGCACTATAGCTCGATGTTTCATGGCCTTTTTACGCAACTCCTCTAGCTTTTTCTGCATGAAAGCTCCAAACAAAATGCTGTTGTTCGGCATAGAGGGAAGAACTGCCTGGAACCAATCCCTAAAATACCTGCATGTCCCATGTAAAATGAACTCCACTATGCCAACTAGTGGCAGTTCACGGACACCGCGCATCACCCAGTTGTAAACTTCTGCCAAATTTGTTGTCATTATTCCATATCTAGCACCACCTGTGTCATACGCCTTGGCCCATTTCTCTTTTGGTTCATGCAGAATCCACTGAGAAAATTTCCGAATCTCCAATCCAGTTCTTCTAACCAATGTTGGACTATCCGTTGGGAGAGGTCCAAGAGCTTGAGGAGGGTCAGCAACGGCGGTCGATGGAGCCGCTGCACGCTGATCACTGCATTTGGCTGTCAACTCATCTAATCTCTTCCAAAGCTCATTGAATTTTTTCTCCTGGTTCTGATTGCACAGCCTCTTGAACATGTTCATGAGCTCCTTGTTCTTGAATTGCTTGAAGAAATTAGCTCCCATATGACGCATGCACCACCTACTCTGTACATCTTCCCAAACACCGGGGTATCCTCGTTCCATACTCCCAAACTGCAACTCTTCTATCGCTCGCAGAATGCCAGCGTGCCTATCATGTATCAGGCACACATTTGGCCTCATACCAACAACTTTTGTTTTAACCAATTTCAGGAACCAGTACCAGCTGTCGGTATTCTCACTCTCAACAAAAGCAAATGCCAAGGGCAATACCTGATTGTTCCCATCTACCCCTATTGCTGTTAGTATCTGGCCCCGATACTTTCCTGTCAAGAATGTCCCATCAATGCAGAGAACAGGACGACAGTTCACGAATGCCATCTTGCATGCATGTGGAGCTAAGAACGCCCTTTGCAGCACACTCTTGCTAGGATGTTCAATTGAGGGGAATTTCTTCAATTCATAAGAGCTCCCAGGGTTTCTTTCCTCGATAACACCAAGCAGGCGTGGCAAATTGTCATACGAGGCTTCGTAAGTTCCAAATCTCATCTCTATTATTTTCTGTTTGGCCCTCCAGGCCTTGGCATAGCTAATAGTATACTTGTATGTCTCTTCGATGTGTCGGATTATTGACCTTGGTTCATATGTGAGATTATCGATGACATGCGCATACATCTCAGATGCAACAAATGCACAAGTAATGTTCATGTGGTATTTCTGAACACCAGGTAGAAAACATGTATGCTTGGTAACGACTGACACTGTCCAATAATCCTTCCATTTCCCCTTATACGCGTGCACTCTCCAGGGACAACCATCTTTTTCCTTAACACACCGAACTTCATATTGCGACCGGTTCGACTTGGCAACCCTAAACACTCTATGAAGTGACACTGCAAAATGTTTTACCGCCTCCTTCATATCTTCTGCTCTACTATAAATCGCTCCCTGAATAACCTCATTTTCTTTGTACTCCCATCTCACACTATCCTCTTCAGAGACGATCAGCCCAGAAAAATCCTCACTAGCCTATTCTGCTGGATTAATATCCGTCTCATCATCTGACGAATCACCTTCCTCTACACGCTCGTTGTCAGAATCCTCCTTCTCCATTTCATCCACAATGGCACCGACAGTCTCCCCCTCGTCGGCCACTCCACCTGGTTGAATGCCCACTGGAGCTACTACGCCCCCGTCCAATCGTGCGTTGACCTCCTCCACAGAAGTCTCGTTTACTTCAGCACTTGGTCCCTCGCCATCATCCATGTTCATCTGCACACCTGGATCCTTCAGGTGAACAAACGGAACCAAAGCTAGAGGCCACCCGCGTTGCAATGCATTTTCCAAATACCATCTCCACACTCGAGAGTTTTGAACTGGCATTAGTTCCCAATAAAAACCCTCAATTGCCCGACTTACTATAACATTGATTGTTATGTCACTTGTCTGTGGATCAACTCTCAAGCCCCTCATTAACCATCCTTTTATAGAAGGTACACTCCTCTCAGCCGGTCTATCAATTCCCCTTTCTGATACAATAAAATCTGACAGATCTACCCCAGTTGGCCCGTAACGGACGTTTCCTGGTCCATGGTAAACTTGGAATATTTGTTTGTTCGACATATCTGTCAACGAAATAACTAGATCATATTACTCTTTCATGCAATAAACATCTACAACGTAATATCTTCTTGTGTAAGCCAATGCAACGGTAATGTATTGATTCCAAACTAGCAGATCTACGTAGTTACCGATATCTACAATACGCACTTCTAGATTAGTACAACTAAAACCCTAAAAATATAATGCATTTATTCAAACAAATTTTTAAAGAATACACACTATTTAACTCAATAGTCACATATAGGATCTATGAATATTACCTGAAATCGGCGTCTGAATCCGGCAGGGCTTCGCCCCTTCTTCTCTTCTCCTCCCCTCTCTTCTTTTTTTTTCACTGGAATTGAGGAGAGAAGAATGAGGGCTGGGGGCTGGGCAGCAGGCCTTTTATAGGCAGCGAGGCATGCCGTCCGGCCAGAGGGCGGCAAGGGGCCGCCTGCAAAATAGCCGGCCCGACTGGCTTTTTGCATTCGGGCCCCTTGCCGCCCCACCAGAGGGCGGCAAGGGTTTTCCTGCAAAAAAACCCTCCCTCCGTCATCGCCCGTTCCTCCCCCGTTTGCCACGTCAGCTTGCCGCCCCAGAGGTGGGCGGCAGGGTCTATTTTTGTAATTTTTTTGGCCAATAGATTATTTCTGTAAATATTTTTTAAAAAAAATCTAAAACCGAAAAAAATTCGCTTCCAGACCGCCACCAAAAGTGACCCATCGCACCTCATAGCCCCATGGGCGTGTCCACACAGCCACCGCGTCACCGTCACGCCCCTATTGGCTATATACCAATTGCGTCCGCACTTTACCCCCCAGGCCCCAGCCGCCGCACCACCCTCATCTTCTCCGGCTCTCCGCGCCACAGTAGCGTCGTCACCGGACTCACCGCTCAGCGCCACGGCGCCGGTCCGTACTGCTTCCTCTTCGTGCTGAGGCGGAGCACCACGGCAGCCATGTACGCCGTCTCATCTTGCCCTATCTCGTGTCCTGTGATTCTCTACTCTTTTTTTTGCCGGATCGGCGGAAGAAACGCCATCTAAATTTCATTAAAATTGGAAGAAAATACATGAACCTCGACATTAAACTGTCCAGTCAAGGCGAGAAGCCTTGAAAACAAAGCAAAAGGAAAAAATATGTACATAGGCAGAAGCTCTAAAGTCTATTCCTCGCTAAACTTAAAAGCTTCTCCAGACCATCATTTCCTCTTTGATGTCTGCAACCAACAGCTCCACAGATTTCTCTTTTTGGTCAAAACCTCGAGCATTCCGTTCCTTCCAAACACGCCAGCAAACCAGCATGAAGAAGGAATAAAATGTGCTCCTGTAGCTGGACCGACAACAGGCACGCACTTGCTGCCACCAGCAGGGCCGAAGCCAGGATAAATGATCGCCGGGGTCTACTAACTAATGATACTAACAATAGACTATAGCTTGTAATAATCTAAGATCCCGCTCTTTTTTCCAAGAAAAGTTTGATGAAGATTAAGATTTTCGTGGCACACTTTTCAAACTGCTAAACGGTGTGTTTCGTGTGAAAACTTTCTGTATGAAAGTTGCTCTAAAATACCATACTAATCTATTTTTCAAGTTTGTAATAATTAAAACTCAATCAATCATATGTTAATATCACCTTGTTTTGCGTAAAAAACTTAATCTTCATATCATCTTCAGGAGAAAAGAACACCAGACTATATATAAGATGGTACAAAATCAATTATGGCATATTTTTTTTTAAAAAAAAGTCTTGGTTCGGTAGCGGTTACTTACAAAATCTTGTCTACGCCTCCAAATTCATCGCAATGGAGGAATACTGGAATATTACATCAACGCAGGGGAATTTGTGGAGACGGCTGCCAGCCTTGTGGGCTCACATCCAAACGTTGTCTCATTATGTGGGCTGGGCTGGCATATAATGCATACGAGCTAGCTTAGCTATTTTCTGTTTTGTTGTGTCATTCTTTGTTATTAATCACAATTGCCTTTAACTAATCAATCTATCGGGGTCTAATGGTATTCTACGATTTTGCTAGATATTTGTCATTAAATTTCTCTCCTAATATTTGTCGTTTTTCTGACCATAGGATTTGCGCTATGATTCGTGCGCATGCGGGGGTGGGGATGCAGCTGCGTCACGTGTAATCAGACCGCGCCTGTAGTCAAATGTGGGCCATCCCTCTCAAATTTCGGGCTCCACGCTTTTCTGTCTGTACTCCGTAGCCGTTGTTTTTCCTCAGCTCTCTTCTCGCTCTCTTTCCTTCTCTCTTTTTTTCTTTTCTCTTCATTGTTTTCTCCGGAGAGAGAGAGAGAGAGAGAGAGAGAGTCATCTCGCCGGTGAGTGAGAGCTGGCTTGCCGGCGCGCGCGAGAGAGAGGGCTTGCCGGCGCGCGAGAGAGAGGTAGGTCGCCGTGGTGATTCAGCTCGCCGGAGAGTTTTCTGCTGATTTTTCTCTCCTTGTCTCCTATTTGTTTGCATCATTAGTTGATTTTTTTTTCAATCTTATTCCGGCTAGGTTTTGATGCTTCAGGTAGCTCTTAATGTTTGGATCTGATGCTTGTTTAACTGTTTTAGATTTTGGAATCGGTAGTTTTGGTTTAGTCCCCTGATCTGTTGATTTCTATGTCATGGAACCTGAACACGCGGAGCACTTCCGTCCTGCCCTTGTTTTGATTAGTCCCCTGATCCGTTGATTTCTATGTCATGCCGATGAGATTGCCTAGCTGTTGATTTTTTATTTTGTTAAGTTCCAGGTGAGTAGTGCTCTGATCTGTTTATTTATAGGTAAAGCTACACACTATTTGAAATTTTCTAGGTCTGATCTGTTTTTTAAGTACATCTGCTTTGTGTGATTTGGGAATAGAATAAATTGTAACCACCGAACTAGCCATCGGTGGAAACGATGGCTGGATTTTTTTTTTTTGGTCTTGTCACTGAGCTCGATTTTGTGTCTGGTAGATGGGGATTTTTTTTTGTGTGATTTGCATTTTTCGGAGTAAATTGGACATGCTTTTGGCAGATTTACAGGTTTGCTAGCATCTTTTTCCCCCTCTGTTTTGTTCTGTCCTGTACAGGGGATTTTGTTTTTTCCCTCTGTTCTTAACATGCACGTCTCCTTCTGTGTTTGTTAACAATAAATTGTAAATGTGTCCACCTTAGAATAACAAAAGCTTTTATCATGTTCTTTGTTTTATGAAACAAAGCAGTGTCAATTATACACCTAAATCTTGTTTGAATGGATCACCTGGTTAAGTTGCAAGCACCTTTAGAGCTCCATTCATTGTGTCCTATACGATAGAACCAATGAAGATCCCTTCTACAATACAATCTTGATTGAGCAACCCTGTGCAGGCTGCAGCAAGCTTACATCTAAACTGTGCGTTGATTAAAGATATATGTTGTGTTCAATTTGCAAAACAAGGTGATGTATGATTTCCATGTGCTTCTGTTACAATTCCCTTCTGTTATTGTTCTATATAAAGTTTAGATGTACTTTCCTTCATCATTCAGAACATCAGCAGCATGCATGCTTGCATATTTTTTATTCTTTATTATGAATGAACCATTGCAATATTGTACTTACTTGGTAAAGATTGATAGTTGTATACACTAGTTACGTGAAGCTTGCCATTTTGCTAGCCCCACACCCATATACTTTCTCCTGGAAAATTAATACAGCAAAAGTTACAGTTGTAAAAAGTCCATATGCACTATAGTTACAGTTGTAACTTTTGTAGTTTCTCACTGTAACTGAATGTAGGTACTTAGATTATTTTTATTTACTACATGTGTCATGACTAATTTTTTATATATAAATTTGTGCTAGATGAAATTTTCTACGAAGATCAGATATGATGCATAATAATAGGTAAGCATGATATTCTAACCTTCAACTGTCCTTGTTACTTGAGCCTTTGTTCTATCAACCCCTACATGTAATTTAACACAAGTATGGTTGGTGTATGTAATTGAAAGCATTAGAATCATGTTGTAGACTACCTAACTTAAATATTTTGTGTTTTATGCAGTATGAAATTATAGTAATTCTAACTTAAAACATACTTACAGTGCAACTCATCACCATTTACAGTGCAGTTACAGTCGAAATATACCTCACTTACAGTTGTAATTTCTGTTATACCTCACTGTAACTGACTGTTGGTAGTTAGATTTTGTAATTGATTGACATTGGTTTATTACTGATTTGTGTGAAAACTAGGACACTTGTTGTTTGGGAACCCTAGGGACTCCTTTTGTCAGTTGTGCATGCAAAAGTTAGAATATGTGTGAGTTTGCGCTGCTTCCCCTTGTGTTGTAGGTTTTTTTCCAATCAATGCTGTGTAGGGTCATCATCCATTTTTGAATTAGTTATATGTTTTTACTGAAATTAGCTAGGCTTCTTGCGTCATTGCAAGTGTGAGGCCACTTCATTTATGTTGCCTGTTAGTGTATGCAACCAACATTAACTTTCTTTTCTTTGTCTTTGCGTAGATTCTGCTTGATTTTTGCATAACAAGTGTCGCCTGGACATAACTCTTATGTGTCTATTAATTCCTTTCATTCAAACAGAAAAGGAGAACTTGTGCCTTTTATGGTTTATTAGTGTTTTTTTATTTCTTTTGTAACGTTTAGATGTTTTCTCTTAGGAAAATACCCCAGAAAAAAATATCTCTTGAGGCATTTGAATGGCTGATCTAAATCTGTATTTAATGCCCTCTTCTTACATCTGGTGATTTAGTTAAGTTTTCAAATGGTATTTTTAGTTATGAATTTTGTTTATCAGATGAAGTCAATACTTTAGGTTTCATGTAGTCTTAAAACACACTTACAGTACAACTCATCATCACTTATAGTGCAGTTACAGCGGAAATATACCTCACTTACAGTTGTAATTTATGTTATCTCTCACTGTAACTAACTGTTGGTAATTAGATTGTAACTTTTTTTATATTGGTTTTATCAATGAATTGTGTGAAAACTGAGGGACTTGTAGTTTGAGGAACCCTAGGCATCTTCATTTTCTTAGGCACAAACTTGTAGTTTGAGGAACCCTAGGCACAAACTTGTTTTTGCTAGTTAGTAATGTAGGCCAAGTTTTGTACCGTTATTTTCTATTATCTGTGTTGCCTTGTGTTTCATGCAGCACCATTCATCACTAGTATAACTTAGATCATACTTACAGTTCAACTCATCACCACTTACAGTCTAGTTACAGTGGAAATATACCTTAGTTACATATGTAATTCTTATTATTTTTTTCTTGTAACTAACTTAGCTATTGGTAGCTAGATATTCATTTTTTCTTGTAATTGAACTTGTCACGGTGGAATGTCTATGTTGAATCTGGGGAGGCTGATGCCCTGCTAGATGGGCATTTTTATAGTTATTATGAATTTTTAGTTCAGAGTTAATTTTGGCATAAAGGATTATATGATTTCAGTTCTTTGGTTCACAAAGAAAATTTCGTGCACAAAGAAAATCCCCATTTTTGCAGATATCTCGTTGTATATCCTAGCTGTTTACTGATGCACTGTTTTCTACAATCGTGACATGTGCTGTTCAGGCAGAAGCTGAGTTTCATGGTGGCATTTCAAGCTCAACATATGAGATGTGCTCATTTGATCAAATCGGTTGTTAAAGGTATTAGAGAAAATATCACTGATTGATACATGTTTTCTCTGCAGTGATTTCTGCAGTGAAAATATTACTGTTGAATCTGTTTTCTACACTAGTATAGAGTTTTTTTTGGTTTGTTTTTGTATGGTTCCGACCATTTGTATTGTGTCAAAGTTTTGAATGATAATTTCGTGTCTAATTTCTATTGGGCTCTGTGTTTTGGGCTTGTTTTTCAGCCTAATTGTTGTTTATTTTTGTTTCCTAAGGCCCAGACGGTAAAAAGTTTGTTTGTAGTCATTTTTTTCTATGCATTGGATCTAGATCTAAAGGCTGGAAAAATGTGGGTGATTTTGCCCCAAAAATCTGTCGACAAACAGATATGCAGTTCCGGTATTCTATACCGGGGTCATGGCTGGTAAGATAAACGGGGTATACGATGGTTGTGGAAAATCGTCGGGGTCTACTGACCCCAACGCTTTGCTGTAGCTTCGCCCCTGGCCACCAGACGCCCAGTTCTTCCCCATTGCGCCCAGGTAAATCAAAACTGATTCTCAGCCATGTTCTCAGCAGAGACCAGACCCTGTTAGTGTAGAGACATCGGGTGAAAAGATGGTTGCAATCTTCAGGTGCCTCGCAGCTCATTTCGTCGTGAACTGAATGCAGTATATGTCGGTATATGCTTATACGGGCACATTACGATCCTCAGTTTCTTTTCCCGGTCAGCACTGACTCACAAATCACAGGAATGAACAGAGCCGAAATGATGTGGTTGGTGCGCGGTGCGCCCAACCTGGAGCCAATAAAACTGCCAATGCACTGTATAAATTACAGATTACAAACACTCAATTCGAGTATACCTTTCCCTTTTCACTTTTTTTTTCTCGTTTTCTGTTATGTATAAATACAAAAGTAAAACGTGCTTCTGGCCTTAGCCAGACACTCAGCTGCATGAATAATATACAGTTAATTAGCCTTGTGACCTTCCTATGTGCTATACCATCCTACTTATAATCTCAACTAAAATCAGAAGAAGCTCAAGGTCTTCAAGTGAGCTCTGTACATTCATGACTGCATAAGACATGCTGCAAAAGCCATGATGGACATCGCACAAATTTATATGATTATCCCAAATCACTCTTGTTGTTGCTCCTTTTATTGATTGGTAGCAAGAACTGTTGGGCTAACTATATGCTTGCTTCCTCACCTTGCTATCTCCTGTCCATTATAATGAAGAATATACGAAGACAAAAATGCTATACACATAACATAATCTATCCTTGTTTCCCCTCAAGTATTTACTTGATTTCAGAAATGCTCCTTATGGAATTCGAACTTCGTTGTGCATTTCCCGTTGAATTCATGGCAAAGTTTGCTTAGTTCTTGTGCCAGGACTGGAGCTCCACAGTAGAATACACCTGTATGCAACACAAATAAGTACTCAAACCATATATAATGTGTCTACGATATCACTATATTAACTATATAGATCAAATGTTGATGAGTAACTCAGCCCGAGGTGGTAACTTGTTTACAGATCTGCTCATTTACAACAGAGCTGAAAGTGTAGAAGGCGTGGAATTTCAAGTTTTCCCCTTTCCCATTTTTTATTATATATCATTGGAAGTTTTGCGTTTCTTTTATGTAGTACTCAGTACATCTAATAAGTTATATATGCAGAGTTAGGTAGTAGGCATGAATGACCAAAGGAAATCAAGATAAAGATTAGTTAGACTTGAAGCATGTAAACTAACCTATTTTGGCATATGGATGCTTGGAGGAAATTTTAGAAAGGACCTTTCTCCAATTTGGTCGTGCAAAATGTGTCCGGACCTGAAAAACAAGTGCAGTGACAATTAAATGGACAAGGCAAATGTGATTTCTATTAACTTTGAGTTCTTTACGATAATAACCAGTGAGGTGAAAAACTTAATATCAAACAAAACAGCTTTACAGCATCCGTGTGGAGATGTTAAACGTCCTGCCAATACTTACTTTTGTCCCAGAGACAATATCAACTCCATTCTTGGCATGGTTCAGAGCTTGGAGCATGGTGATGAGTGCTGACCTGGCATCCCCCTCCTCATAGACGCTTGTTAGGTAGTTGTGCATCTCAATGATATTCTAGCATGAATCAAAGGCAACCGTAACTACAAGTTCACAAGGAAATGCATGGCAAATTTCTGAAGACAAACAAACTGCACTGGAAAAAAAACAATTGGTCTATTTACCCTTTGATCCAAGTCAGCAATTTCATTCATGACTCCTTTGAACCAATCAAAAGAGCCTTGCTCACGTGTCACCCAGTAAAAGTAAGCATTTGTGGTCTTCAAGATCTTCTTTGGTCTTGAGGTAATCGTCATAAGTGTGCCCAGATCAACATGTGGCTTATTCCGACCCATTGGTGGATAAAGATCAGTAGAAGCATCCTGCAAATACGGAGAAACAGAGGACACCGAAAACATAAGGCACAGCTAAAAACGTAAATGGTTACTATACTACACAAAGAAGATAAGCATGATAAGGAAAAGAGTAATATTTTATTTACTTGCAATACTAGGAAGACAACTGCAGAAAACATACCTCCTCTTCCTCCATTTTGATGATGTTATTCAGAAGATCTTTTAATATGCTAATAAAGGGTGTCGCACCAATTCCTAATCCAACAAGTAATAAAACATCATACTTGCTGTAATCCTGAGCAGGAGAACCATACGGTCCATCAATCAGAAGCTTGGGTAAGCTGCATAGCCAAAAGGACAAAATTATAAATGTTAGTGCACACAAAGTACAAAATTTTGTTGTGGTAAACATAGGGAGTGTTCATACATTTTCTTAGTTGTCTCATCTGCCCTAAGAAGGCCGCTTTTACCACCCGCTGGGGGCTCACAAGCTGCAGCAAATACTCTCTTGAGTTCTCGTGTCCAATCACCAAGTTGTCGAACATGAATGCTGAGGTAGTCATCCCCAGGTGCTGAAGTAATTGAGAAGGGATGCCTACAAGAGACAATAAATGTTAATGTTAGATTAATTGCCCTGAGTTTGCCTTTCGTACATATGCACTACACATGAAAATTAGAAGTAATCTATCTTAGCAATGTTATCCAGTGTACATAATTCAATTAAATTTCAGCTGAAAAGCACCAAGTACCATTCAAAGGGAGACACTGCTGGACATTGAACAAACATATATTGTCCACTCTTGTAACGGAACGTGGGAGGCTTGGACATTTGCAGTGTCAAAACATTACCTGGATATATGGCCACCTGCTAAGAAAGTTACTGAATTAGTACAAGGCACAAAGTATCAATGCTCAATTTTGTAATGTCTTTGGATTGACCTTCAATAGCCGGACAGAATAACTGCCAGACCTGAAGAACCTTAGAATCCTCTCCCCTACATACAAGCAAACAGGCACTGAAAGATACATCCATGTCTGCATTGAAATAAAAGCATGAGGACATTAGAAATTCGAATTATCTTAGACCAATGAATGAAGATAAATTCAAAAATATCTTACCGTTCTTCTGTACCAGACATGAATAAGGTATAGACACTCTCCATGAACAATGAGCGCGATATACACAATGATGAACAGATGATGAGAATACCAAAAGGCATTGAAGCCAGTCAGTTTGTCAAATGGCCTTGGAAGCTTAACCAAGCTACGGCGGAACCACCGGGTTGCTAGAGTAAAAGCAATTATCATGCATACAACCATGATTACCCCAGTGATGCCCTCCACTCCTTTGACCAATGTAAAATATGTTGGCTTTATTTCCCCAAAATACTGGCCCAAAGGAGCATACTTCTCATCTGATGATTTTATTAACCGTGGAAAATCGCATACAAGGTGGTTCCCTGCATGGAGGATTATACCAACCACAATTGCTGCTGCAATAGTCTGCCGTTACAACAAAAACACAAGTTGTTAGTTTCTTTTTCGAGTTTGTCAGCAGAAGAATGTTCAATATATCTACTTATATTATAAATTTTTCAGTTGTGTCATGACCCTATTACTTGTGCTTGTATCTCAAATGCAGCATCTACATTCTAGAGTACTGGGTCAAGGTCTAAATTCATTGATTTCAATACAGATCACTGTGCTAGATTGTATCAAGGGGATAACAGAGGCAATGACAGACTATTTGCTAACCTTGTGGAAGTTGATGTTGTCATCAAAAGGTAGTGCCCGTGCAGCCCTTGTACTTCGCAACCAAGTAATGGTGTTACGGCATACTGGCAGGAGGATAATTGCCATATTCAGCTTTAGGGTTTCAGCAGCTCCTTTTGCTGTTGTGACACAGTAGCCCATCACATCAAAGACATATCGGTTACGATACTGCATGAATTTCCAGGTGAACAGTCCAGCCATTATCCCAATCCACAATGCAAGCACCCATAAACGTTTCCAGTTGTCCTCGAAATAGTAGCTTAAAGAGGTGCTTATTTTGCGGATTGAACTCTTCTTCCTTAGCCCTGCAAGATTCTGGCTCAGTGCTTGGCTTGTGTAACTAAGGGCCTGACTATAGTTCATATAGGTATCTTTCTGCAACAGAAGTGTCTCCAATTGCCATAGCTGTAACACAAACAAAAAAAAAAACAGTGTATTTTTCAGAAGTCATGTCATTCACATTTCATTGATGCAAAACTATAAGCACATTTAGTTGATTTGAGGATAATATTCTATGAACAAAACATAAGCTACTCTCTCAAAACTGGTTCCTAAAGAAAGAAATTGTACTATGAAGGTCCATAAGCTCAACCACTGGGCCACTATACATGTACTACACATGGAGGATACTGAATACATAGCACAAGACCGCCTAAATTAATATATATAGTGTTCTGTGATATTAAAATGGAATTGCTAGAAAACTTCCACAAGTTCTTTTGCCTCCAAAACTTTCGGATTTGTAGCCATCGGATTGCCTCGAGATTTGTGCATGAAGGGAAAAAATTGCTAGAAAGAAATTTGCGCACATGTCACGTGTAATATTCCGGTGCTAACCAATCAAACCATAGTTAAATACAAGTTTTATATAAGTTATATCATAGTTACAGTATAGTTACAATGCAGTTATAGTATAGTTACAATGTAGTTACACTTCGATTATACTATAGTTACATGTGAAAGTTTTTCACTCAAAAAAACTTGCGGCAGTTTTTTAGATACTCCCTATTAAAAATGAAAGTTGGTCCCTTCCTGTAACATACCCAAGCCTATAAACCTGAGAACTAAATTTAATTTAAATGCATCATGTGGTTGTGGAGTGATTTTAATTGTTTTTGGATCTTAATCATCTCATCATCACATGCATCTTGATAGGCCTAGAGTCACAAAAACAATTAATCTGGTAATTATATGCATCCAAAAATTCCACAAAAATTCTCAAAAATACCTTGATATGTCAGAAATCAACCCACAAATTTTCAGAGTTTTTCAGTAAGGTTTGCTAACTTGTTGATCTACTTTAATCTCTCCAAAATCCTGAAAAAAAAAACTGCTTAGCAGATTCAAACTTGCTCTCTCTGTAAAATTTATTTCAAAACCTCTTTTTGAAGTTTGGTTTCAGCCAAAGTCTTCTACTAACTTTCTTCTAACACCCTGAGGAGTGGCATACCCTGGATCACTCTCTAACCCTTTCTTCTCTCCCTCCAAAAATCCAATCAGCTGCTAACTGCACTGTCAACTGCTGCTAACCAACACTGTCAACACATGTTCATCACTCCATCAAACCTAAACCAGAGACTTCTAACCCAACCCACTTCAGCACATTTACTCTCCACATCACCCCTGACCAAGAGGATATCTAGCCAGATTTCTTGCTGCTCAAAATCCACCTTGAATCCCCTCCAAAGATCCTTGGCAGGTAACCCTCATTGACTTAGCCTCCAAGGCTATTTTCGAATTTCTTTCACTGACAGTGGGCCCCACAACCCCCGGGACCCACATGACAGCCTCCCACTCTCCCCTCACAGCATCCACCGTTCCTCATGCCCAATAAATGCCCAAGGAACACAATGAGTGCACCAGCCACCTCTCTCTCTCTCACTCCCCCACTCCACTCTTCCTTATTTCCCAAGCCAAAGCACCAGAAGCAACAGCTCGCTCCCCACATCGCGTTCCAAGTCCAAGAAAACACACCCCACGCACAGAATGCCCAGAGCTCGGCCATCTTCCCCGGCTCCGGCGACTTAGCCGTCGTCGCCGTGCATCCCCGGTGAGTCCCTCTCTCTTTCCTCCTATGGAACGTGACCTACGCATCACGCCGAGCTCACCCGTACCCCTTTTGCCCTAGGACCAATCTGTCGAGCACGTGGTGGGCGTCACCGTCCTCGCCGCCGGCCACCCGAACCGCCGACGCCGCTCCGGCCGCCGTTCCTCACCACCGAAGCAACACCAAGCTCCGGTGAGTTTCCGCCGGATTCCTCGCGCATGCACCCTCTGTGGCTCATCTCTAACACCCCCGTACTCTCGAAGTTACAGTTCGCGCCTTGAGTCGACCCGGCGACGTCGACGCCGGAGTTTTGCCGCCGTTGGCCATCAACCACCGTCTCCGCCGCTCCCTGGACCTCGCTGCCTCCGTTTCTCTGCTTGGTGAGCACCCTGGTACCATATGAGAGCACATGCACTAACCCTTTGCACTAACCAAGCCTCTGCATGCACATACATGGGCATACCGAGACACACCACCGCTGTAGCTCATGTTCTATGGGCTACAGACCACCATTTCCCTCACCAGCACCACTCACGGATGCGCAAGAACGTTCTCTACATTTTCTCTTTTGTGCTCGAACCGATTCGATCCACTGATCGCCGCCGGTGAGCCGTAGACCGAGCTCAGCCATGGCTGCTCCCGATGTGAGATAGCTGGGGACTTCATTTCTTGAATTTGATCGACTCTAGGGTCCAATCTGAAAACTGCCATGACTCATATTACTATAGCAGGACCTTGATGGAAATAAACAAAAGAATAGAGACTCTTAATAAAGTTTGCTGTCCAGGTGGCAGAAGAAGTGCGGGATGATTCCCCCAACTTCCGAGGGCCTCTCTGCAAATCTTCTTTCACTGACCTGTGGACCCGGCTGGAATGCAATTTCAAATTTTGATTTCTATTTTGGTTTAAAGCAGAGAATGAGCAGAACTTCTAAAATTTGTAGAAAATTCATTTTAACTTCAAAAATTGTGAAACCAGTTTTGTTAGATCCATAAAGCTGTGAAATATTTTACAAAAATATAAAAATGGGTACTTTCTGTACAAACTTTTCCTTTATTTTTGTTTTGCCATAATGTTGCCTAGAACTTGTTAAATCCATAACGAATTGAATATAGCTCTAAAAATTGTGAAACCACTTCTGTTAACTTTCTAAAATCATGCTCTATAACTTTGTAAAAGGAATTTTGTTCACTTCTGTACAAAAATGTTGCTTAATAAAACTTAGCCCTTTTAAACCTTTTTAATTGTAAAATGCATATCTCTGTAAATAAAAAGTGACAAAATAAAAATTCCTTCACCAGAGACCACCTGAGACCAGCACACACTCACTGCATAAATTTCATGCATTTTCATGCATTTTGGTTTTTATGCATTTTTGTATTTATCGTATACACGTATTTTGTATAGAGGAAGAATACGTCGAAGAAGAAGAGGGTGAGTTTGTTGACGACCAGGCTCAGGAGTTTGCAGACGAAGGAAAGTTTGCCCCTCCTTTGACCACATTGATCCTATGTTCTATTGGGCTAAATGATTCTATTGCAAACATGCATACGTTAGCTAGTATTAATTTTGGTAAAAAAAATATTATATAAATGTGGGAATGGTAGATATGACCTAATTGCTGCATAATCCACCTTGAAATATTGAACCCTTGCTGGTTGTAACCATAGAGTGCTTTTGAATACAATTATTGTGTTCTTTGGGATTATACTATGCTTATATTGCTGCTATATGCTTATATTTGGTTACCGCCTTGCAAATTACTCGTTTTGATAAATGTTATATGTGAAAATGGTTATTTTGATGTTGCTGGACAGAAATTTAAGTGTGTGAGTATTGTGAACTGAAAATGGAAATAACTTGTTTTTAGACTTGGGCGGCGAGTGTACATAGGGTGGTAGTTGTACACCGATAGGGGGAGCGTTCGCCCGGGTCGATTAAGGACCCCACTCTATGTCACCAACTAATGAAAACAGTACAAACCACATGTGCTAAGTATGGGCTGGCCTCAACCTATTAAGTTGTTTAGAGTTTAGCCTTGCATCTTGGTAGGCCGAAGGGTATGGGTTACCGGGTTTTGGTAACTTATCGGAACTTCCTATGGTTCGTGATATGATGAAATTGATTAATGATATGTGGTATGTGATGACTTGAGGGGTAGATGTGTATTATTTATTCATTCACATTACAAGTTTTACTTACTCTATACTATTGTTATAAAATTCCGTTGCGAAACATGTTGTGAACTAAAATTGGCATTTATGCAAATTAACCTATACACAGCTTATCCTTGAATATGGCCAACATGTAGTATGCTAGGATTGTTTCCGACTTGCCAATACATTAATTTGATTAATGTACTGATTTCTTGCTTTTTTTTACTTGTTTATGCTCAGACCGCGCTGCAGGTAATGACTGTTTGGATGAGGAGTTTGATGCAGCTTGTGATGTTGCAGATTTCCAGGATGGTTCTAACTAGGGATTTACCCTAGTCGGTTTGCCTATGGGCTTTTGGGTAGCACGCTTACCGCATGAACCAATATTTATGGCTTGTCGCCAAGTACTACTTAGAACCTTATTAAGACTATTTATGCTTATTGCTTAGAACCAATTATTATTTGGATATCATGCTTGAGATGATTTATGTGAGACTATGTTGCATTCCTGGGCGACTAGTCCCACATGAGGATGGGTTTGAAATGGTTGAGATAACCGGGGAATATGCCTCTGTTGAGATCGAGTCTCTGGGGTATGTTTTTTGTCGCCACCATCGAGTGGTTGACGGGCATATGACGTAGATGACTGGTGTGGCTATTCCAACAGTTGTGTCTTCTATTTCATATCCGATGGCTTAGAGCCTATGTAGTGCACTCTTCAAGACATGTCGGGGTCTGCGATGAGGTTGGATGGTTACCGTATTTATTTGGGCTTTATTTGAGAACCCATCCATCCAGATATTTCGCGCTGACATGCCTCGGAGCGTTGCACCACCTAGGCTTTGGGACGTCCTCACACTTCCATTAGCTCAACAAATTGTTTGCAAGAAACACATGAGCATGTCAACAACAGCACATCAATTTTCACCATCCAATACATAATAATATCAAGATTATATAACAACAGAATTATGCTGCAATGGCAAAAAATAAAATGTTGCACTACTAGTAGAGATCATTGTAAAACACCTCCTTTTTTATATATGAAAGGACTTTCATGTAAAAAGTTGTGCAGTCATACCAGATGCAGTACATGGTACTTGTGATTTGTGAATAGATGCAACGCTTCTCATCAAGAAGATATCAAACATTTTCTTCAGATGTATATAATTCATAGTTCAATAATTTATTTAAGAGAAACTCGAATTTACAGTTTGCTGCTTTACTAATATTGGCAAATGTGTCCTGAAATTACCCTATGAAATATGTACATGAACTTTCTCAAGCTTAACTAACCATTTTGGACAAACAAATATTAAATCAGTGTTGACTCAAATGAAACAATTGTGTCAACTAGTTATCTCTTGCTATCTTTTGAAAAAGAAGCGTCAACTTATCGAACATGTAAAGTTAATTTACTTCAAATACTATGAGGGTAAAAAAAGTACGAGACAAGTTAACACTACACGGCGATCTAATTGGTACGGTTGCACAAAAATATGAATCCCCACCAAACTGAAGTTGTAGCTATCCCACTGCTAGAAAAGGTGGGACTTGAATCACCTGGTGAACTAAAACCATAACAAATGAGGCCTAACATGGATCATGGATGGCAATCACCAAAGCCACTGGCTGCATGGTCCAGATAAACACCCTTGATCGACATTCCTACTAGTACATGAGCGCATGGGTTAATCCTGGTTCCTAAATCCCTAGTACTTGCTACCCTGCTTATTAGTTACTACATCAGCTTCCCTACCCTTGCACCCGGGCAAGGCAGAGCAATGCACGACCAAGAGCCATGGAACCGTGATGGAACATTTCTGGCATTGTAAATGATTCCTTTGTAAATGGTGCGGCAACAAGCTGTGGGCAGCAAGGATGGCATTGAATTAGGCAGGGGAGCGAAGCGAAACTGTTCCCAAACTGAAATGGATGCTACACAGCTACACTGGTCTACGTCTGCTCAACAACTTCGATATAAATGATGATGGGTGGGCAAGAAGTTTGTGGGGTACCAGCATCATCTTTTTGTTATGAATGATGCGTCCCTTTGCAAGTAGTTGGCCTTGACGCTGTGACGGACAAATTTTTGTTTAATTATCATAACAAGCGCGCTTGGCCGGTTGGGGGACACCCATCACCGGAGCAATGTGACAGATAAAATAGAACTGCACGAAGTCATCAATTAGGCTCTACTGGTACTACCCCACTACAGCACTACCATCCCAAAACAGACAGCTTCAGTCAACTATTCCTAAAGGTTTGGTGGAAGTAAATAGTGTGGGTTTACAGTGCATGAGTACAACTATTACAGATATAAGCGCATTATGAGGGTTTACACCAGCTTAACTGCTTAAGAACATCGAGCTTACCTCAATGTAGCCGAGCCCTTCAGGATCAAGCTCCTCCATGATCAAAGCGGCGTACTCTTCTGCTTGCTCCTTAAGCCTCGACAGTTTATTGGCAGACGCGCTCAACATAATAATCTGCGCGTAGGTGAAAGGAGAAACACGAGCTGAGTCAACATGATCCAACATCTTCCAAACCTCAAGAAAGCAACCCAGAGCAGCCAAAAAAACCCCTACCAACTCAATTTGCTCCGCAGCACTGTTAGTGACATCAGTGAGAGGCAAAAAATTAGCGAATCGTTTTTTTTTTAAAAGGCTACTTTATAACTCATCTTGTCAACGCATCGTTTGAGCTGATCAGAGAGCATTAGGGCAAGTACTATGGGCATCCAAGCACAAGCCCTAAGATGCCACATGGGACTAAATAGTGAGGTGGAGGAGAGAACAAGGATGAGAGAGAAATAGTCACCTCTCATACAAGGGATATTGGGGATATTGGGGATAAACTTCAATAAACATGTGAGAGTATTAGAGATATTGGGGATTGTGTAGTAGAGGTAATCTATTATACATATCACCTCTTAATTTAATTATATATGTCATGCATGAAATTGGATGTGGTGGCCACCTCTACTATAAAACTTGCCCTTAGTGGGTTTGACAGAAATGCCCCTCACCTACTGCCGCTTCACAGGGCTTCTGTAAGCCACGAAGCCCACCGGATTACCGAAACTGCCCTCACACGTTCTAGAAAGGGTACCCCTTTTCGGCTTTTCCTAAAAGTTAAAGAAAATGAGTGTCCCAAAACTGGCAGGTAGGAGTTGGTGTCGCCGTGATGCTTTCCCCGCCGGTTTCGCTCACCGACTCCGATTGGAAGCCAAGCATTTTTTCTTCTTTTCTCGTACCTTTGTACTGCATGCCTCTCTCCTTTCCCTGCGTAGTACGCTTCTGATCTAAAATGTCCTCTCTTATCGGATTGTTACGTGTTAATTAAGAACTGTTCTTCCCTCTAATCAGAATTAAGAAGTAATCCTATCCGGTAAGGTTGCGAATCGCGACTTAGATGTGTGCATATTTTGGAGGGAGAAAACAAATATTGGTGTGGCCCAAGCAAGGCGAGGACAGCTCAATCGACCAAATATACAACTACGGTTGTCAAAACGGTCTAAATTATTCGATTTGATATCCTGAAATAGCAAATTTAAAAAGAATGGAGAAAAAAAGCACAGAAGAACTCGTACTGCTGGACCACCAAGCGTAGGAACAGCATAGACATGGGCGTGGATTATGTTTTGCTCACCTCTTTCACCTCCGCCTCCGTAATCCGGCCGTCCGCGTTCTTATCCACCCTGGTAAAAATGCAGACGAAAATCGCCACAAAATTTAGCAGAGTTGATACTCTGTTTATCTAGTAGTACTGGTAATAATGGCAAAATTGCAGAGATAGTGGATTGGGTAGCTAATTACATTTCGAAGAAGATTTGGAGACGGGAGTCGAAGCTGTTATCGGTGATCTGCTGCCAGATCTCGCGGAGTTCATCCTTGTTAATCGTGTCCACCTTCATCTGTCGTCGCCGGCTCAGCGTGTCGAACAGCTCGAGCGCGAACTCCTTCGATTCCGTCATCCCTGCACGACGACAATGTCGCGGATGCTGCGTGAGAAAGCAATTCGGTGGGGGGAAAAATGGTGGTGGTGGGCGATCGGTGGGTAGGGATACCGATGCATTCGGCGAAGTCGGAGCGGGAGAGGTAGCCGTCGCGGGCGAGGCGGTCGAAGTTGGCCTGCACCTCCATCCAGGCGTTGTTGGCCTTGTTGCTGCTGATGAAGCGGAGGCCGCGGAGCGCCTTGTGGGCGCCGGAGCGTGTGCGGTCGAGCTGCGCGCGCTGCCGCCGCGCGGCGCGGGCGGCGAGCGCGGACTCGAGGCCCGACGGCGCCTGCGCTTCGCTGCGGCTGTGGCTGCGGCCGAACCGCTTGGTCAGGTCCTGCGAGAACTGCCGCGCCCGGGCCATGGCCTCCGCCTTGAGCTCCTGCGAGAACTGCAGCAGCCGGTGCGACGAGCTCCTCCGGATCGACGGCGACCTCGACCGCGACGACGACGACGACGGGCCACCCGTGAGCTCCCCCCGCGCCGACGC